TTGACCATCCTTAAGGTTTGTCCATTGCACTGGTGAATGTCAAACTGCGTTAAAGGAGATGTGGCTGGGTTGCCCGCAGCCCATCAGCCCACGCTTAATTAAGCCTCCATAGGTACGGTGCTTATTGCCCACTCTCAGTCCTCGAATACATACTCAATTCCTGCACTTCTTCGCCGGACACTACGACCTCATGTTTGTGTTTAGACTTTGCCGGATTTGAGAACGTGTGATGACGTCGCCCTGTCCAAGATGAACATGGCCTAGCAAGTGATCCTTGGTGCCGCAAATCACCACTCGACGCCCACTCAGAGCTCGCATGTTGCTTCAATGCAATTAGTTGAGACAAGAAAGCGACATGAGACAGAGACAGTAGTATGGGACCTCCAAAATCATTCATGTAGAATACTAGCAATAGCATACATAGGTGTAGTTGGTCCTTTCTCCCATGGTCATTTCAGCACACATCCCGGCTCGCGATGAGCCGCCCAAGAAATTCGGATCAAATGGTGTAGCAACACGACAGTTCTCAATCCACCATTATTGCAATCATTCTTGTAATCATCATGTGTCCCTGTAGACTCAACCCCGATTGATTCTGGACGAGGACAAAACCCTCAGGCCGGAGCTGGTCCAGTAGAAGAAGGGGCCAGCGTGGAGCTGAATATTCTCCGGCTGGAACTGCTGGCGACAGTTGGCGGTCGCGCAATCATTCTTGCTCCAGCCGACACGGATGTCATCAGACCACCATACCTGAGGTCGGCCATCGACTTGCAGAGTGATCAGGATGGAGCTGAGGTCAGTGAAATCGACAGCCGAGAAAGGTGTAAGTGGGCAGCCGGAAGACTGATTGCAAGCGTTGACCCAAGCCTTCTGGCTGACGGCTTCTGTCTCGGTGGCATTGGTTGCATCCCATCTGTATCCAGTGAAAGTGAAGACACAAAGCTGGTTGGGAACCGCGGAGTCGGAGTGACAGCCCAGGTTCATGCCGAAGAAGTCAAATTGAAAGCAAGGAGAAGACGCCAGCTTTCCCATGCCAATCTGCGCCGTGTCGCCAGAGACATCATCTGAAGATGTGTTCGACAGAATTGGGGGCACAAACTCCACGAGACGGCCGCCTGAGGACGGCAGGAAGGGCATCAACGGAGGAGGACCAACAAGGAAGCCCTTGGAGAACCAGAACCGATGGTAAGGGTTGAAGAGCGGGCCGGATGAAACATCATCAAACTGTGTACACATAGTCAGCAAGTGAATGAGACAGCAATAGCGAAACAACTTACATCGAGGACTTGGTTGCCAACCTCTGTAGTGCCGGAGCAGATGGGTGTCGGAACAGGCGTCAATGTGGGTGTGCTGGATGTTGCAGTTGTGTTGACGTAGCGCCTCTGTACTCCGCCAGGCTGGACAAGAGAGGTGAAGACACCAGTGGTGAAAACCTGGACAACAGAGCTCTGGACAACGACGCTCTGCCAAGTAGAGACAGAGGGATTGCCGGCAGGAGAGACGGTGACAGCAGGGGCAGAGGCCGTGGATGCGGTTACAGCAGGGCCACCGACCGTGGAAACACCAGCAATGGTAGAGACTCCGAGAATGGTGGATACGCCAATGATGGTAGAGACAACGGCAGAGCCAGCAGCACCACCAGTGACAACGCCACCAGTCACAGCGCCGCCAGTGACAGCGACTTCCGAGGCAGATGCGACAATTGTATCGACTTTGGTGACCAGAGACTCGTAGGGGAAGGTGTACGTGGTAGTCTCATCCGCGACGACGTTGATGAAACTGCTGGTGAGCACAGTCGTGGAGGTGGACTCGGAGCTAGTGCATGAAGTTGAGGTTGCAGCGCCAGGAAGAGCATTGTCAACCGTCGATGACACAGGCCAGAGAGTGATGACAGAAGGCGAGTTCTGAGAGCCAGCGGCAGCAGTTGCGGGGTCGACAATGACAGAGTAGCTACCAATGACTGAAGTTGGCACGCCAGCAACGGTGGTTGGGACGCCTCCATCAGGAGCTCCTGAAGCAACAGTGACAGTGATCTGTGGTCCTGGCAAACCGCCGAAAGGGGGGGCGCCAGTCTGAGCCGGATCGGTGTAGCCGCCAGGAAGGCCATTCGTATCTGTCGGGTTGACACCACCTGCGGGAATGGTAAGTGTAATTGGGATCCCACCGCCAGGAAGACCGTTGGTATCTGTAGGAGAGACACCACCTGCGGGAACTGTGATTGTAATCGGAATGCCTGGGGCGCCTGAGCCGGGAGCACCAGAGCCTGGAGTGCCAGATCCTGGAGTGCCAGAGCCGGGAGCGCCAGAGCCGGGAGTGCCAGAGCCGGGAGCGCCAGAGCCTGGGGTGCCTGAGCCCGGAGTGCCAGAGCCCGGAGTACCTGAGCCTGGAGTGCCAGAACCAGGAGCACCAGTCGAAGGATTTCCAGATGCACCAGGGAGGACAGGGTCACCGTAGCCGCCAGGGATCGTAGGAGGAGTGGTGTCTCCTGGGGTAGTAGGAGACGTCGGCAACGTCAGGACAATTGTAGCAGTGGAAACCGAGACAGAGCTGGGGCCAGCAGAACCGTTGTCTCCTGGGATGCTGGGAAGAACCGTGGTGTAAGTTGAGGCACTACCGGCAGGAGGATGAGGAACTGTCAAGGTGAAGACGACAACATTGCCCGGATCGGAAGGATCAGTAGGTTGGTTGCCGTTGCCAATGGTTGGCTGAGAAGCGTACAGAGTCGTGGTAACAACAGTCGAAGGCCCTCCGACGGGATTGCCCGCGGGGTCGGCAGGGAAAACCACGGTGGTGGCGGCGCCAGCAGGGTTAGCAGGAACATAGACAGTTGTGACACCTGAGCCTGCAGTTGAAGGAGAGCCGGGAGTGGGAACTGTGAAAGTCGACACAACAGTCTGAATGGAGTAGCTCAAGGAGCCATCAGGACCAGCAACCATGGTGGGAACGTAGCGAGTCGTGATGCCAACAGAGCCGCCGTTGCCAGGGCTGCCTGGGCTTCCTGGAGCGGGAGTTGAAGCTGCGGGGACTCCAGTGACGGGTCCAGTGCCAGTTGCAGAAGGGAAAGTGACAGTGAGACAGGTGACAAGTGTGTCGACGACAGGTGTTCCTTGGCCAGAGTCAGGACGAGTCCGGTAGAGAGTGGTGGTGAAGTCAGTGACAGAACCCCCATTGCCGTTGTTGGGGCCAGATGGAGCGTTGGTGGCGGCAGGCCCAGTGGCAGCCGGTGTAGTCAAAGTGTAAGTGAACAACTCGCCAGACGCAGGATCGACAGCACCATCGGTTGCAGCAGAGCCAGGCACAGATCCGGTGGCGGCAGGCTGTGGGAAGATGACTGTGAAGGTTGCAACAACGGAGTCCACGTCGGGTGTAGCTTGACCTGGGTTGGCGTTTGTCCTGTAGAGTGTCGTAGTGATGACTGCGACACCCGCAGTGTTGCTGCCAGCGCCATTGGGGTCATCCGTGGCAAACGGGCAATCAGTGGTGGCAGACTGGGAAGGGTTCCAAGGAAAGCCAGGAGAGCCAGGAGAGCCAGGAGAGCCAGGGAGTGTGACAGTTGTCGTTCCTTGACCACCAGGGACAGAGTTACCAGGGGATACAGGAGAACCAGGAGAACCACCATTAGGATCGCCGGAACCAGGAGAGTAGACAGTAGCAGTGACAACAGTGACAGGGGCGGCTGTGGCAGGGGAAGACTCCCAAGGCTTGGGGCCGGTGAACTGAGATCCTCCAGGAGGGGGATCGTAGCTGTCGATGGTGACAGTGAGAGTGGCCGGAAGACCGGGTTGACCAGACTGGGCAGGAGACCAAGGGGAAGGGGCAGAGGGTGGAACGGTTGCGGTGACAGTCTGAACGATGATCGAGGGACCAGGATCGTTGTTGGAGTCGACCGTGACGAAAACCGTGGTGGTCGCCGCCGCGGGACAGGTTGGCTGGGCATAAGTTCCAGCACTTAAAGGGATTGTCAGTTTCGGACCCTACTGAGAATGGATAGGAAGAAAACACTTACACCATGGCCGCCATGGCAAGAAGAGAGGCCCGCATGTTGGGCAATCGGCAGTGGCGGATCTAGGTGTAGGAAGAACACGTAGAATACGTAGGATACGCTGATCTGATTGAATACGCAAAGAAGGACGCAAACAAGAGAGACAATGACGGCGCAGGGAGAAAAGGAACGGAGCGGAACAGATGAGAGAGAGGATGAGGAGGAAAGGAAAAAGAGAGCAGAGATGGGGGCCCTTGGGGGATTAAGTATGACGGGGGAGAATGTGAGAGAATCCTGCAGAGCTGGGTTGTGGGAAGGAAGCCATCGTCCTCTCCTTCCTCCCATGAAGGTCTGGGAACGGGCTGTGGCCGGTGACGCAACCACACGTACGATGTACTTCTCAACGGAGGAAGGAAGTTGTCCGCAGCATCGTGGAGATCAGGGCCCGTCTCTCGTCTCAATGAGCAGGCGCCGGTTCCCATGCAGTCGACATCAAGACCTTCTCCCAAGCCAACCGCTTCATCTCCTTTCGTATGTTGAAAGAGTATTCGGTGCGTTTCACCCAGCGTAAGTTCCCCTAAACCCCGATTATGACTGTAGGATACGCTCCTTGAAGTGGTCTTAGTCCCAAGGCACTTAGATGGCTCTTTCCTAATGTTCTTTCTCTCGTGGGTGACCGGGGATTCAGGTATGTACCCTGAGGTCCGGTACGTACTCGCCCACGTATGGAACTTCTTGCCATGAGTTTCTAGAAGGGCGAGAAAGAGGAGGTATGAGGCAGGAGCATAAGGCCGGCCGGGTGCGGCACCTTCCTTTGGGGAGAGCTACCTTGCGGTGGTAAAGCAGCTTGAGCAAGAGTGCGCCTTCCTCCTCACGCCAGACCACCAGACGGGAGCCACTAGCGGCCCATGGTCACGCGATCATTTCATGGCAAGTTGGGCCAAGGGAAGGCACCTGGGACACAAAATCGAAATGGAAAGAGCCCACGAAGCTTCCCCCAGGCAGGAGGAAAGAGTGTACGGGTTGATGGTGCTCAAATTTGGCGTGATGAAGACACGCTGAGACGATGACAAAACTCAGGTTTTAGTCAGTGAAGTTATTCAATTGCCTGCCTGCCTGCTCGTTTGATCCCAAGAATTATTCTGGGGCTCAAAAATCCCTTCTACCCATGCTCTTAGACCGGTTCATCCTCGTAGGGGGGCGGGGGCGGTAGGGGTTCTCCATCTCCGATGAGAGCGTCCACGGCTCGCTTCTTCTTCTCATCTTCAATACGTGCCGCCCAAAGTCCGGCTCCGGCCGAGGTTGTCAACAGAAAGAAGAATGACAGCACGGGAATCAGCTCCAGAATCATTGCAACCGTGCCAAACCATACGTATTCCCACGTCCTCGCTCGAATCTCGTTCTTGGCTTCCTTCTTGCTCAGTCCCCGCAAGTGGAACCATCTGTAGTGCGCGAGCTTGCCCAGTCTCGTGCCAGTGATGATGATGAAAGCTGGGGTGCCAACCACCGGGACGAAGTTGAGGGGCAAGAAAACTATCAGCTCGATGATCTGGACCATGGACCATGGGGTGAAGGCGGCGGGGGTCGTCGGCTTGCCGAGCATCTTGACTGCGGTGGGGGCATCGGGGAAGAGGATCCTGTGGGGAGCCACGAGGTCTGTCTGGGACTCTTTTATGAGGGTGGCCTTGAAGAAACGATTAGTATTATGAAACCAGGGAGAGAATCCTAGACAACGAGAAATTCTACTCACATCAAAAACATCCACTCGACACTCGTCAACGAAGAATCCCTCAAAGAGGCCCTGGATCACCACGAGACCCTCTCCAAGCACTAGCACCACCGCATTGACCCACGCGCCCCATCCGTGGAAGATGGCCAGAAGTGCAAACTGTGGAAGGAATGCAAATGTAAAGAGGATGAAGTAAACGAGAAAAGAGATAATTGATAGTGGTAGGAGGCGGCTCAGGAACAGCGGGTAGAACTCCTTGTTCCGCAAAAAGTACCAGATGCCGCGGATGGGAAACCAGGCCGCGATGCTGGCGCGCTTCAGGTACCCCACCGGACGCTCGACGGGTCGGAGGAGAAGGTCAGCGCGGGACGACCACGCGGATCGCTGTGACTCCGACATTCGCGAGATATATGGCCTTCACTGCCTGTAGTATTCGAAAAAATAGGAAGCACTGGCGGTCAGAGTGGAAGTCCTCGTCGTCGTCGGTTTTGAGTTGAGAATGGTGTGTTCGCGGTGCGACGATAACGGTGACTTTTGGCGGAAGATTGCATTAGTGGTTGCCTCCTGCCGCTGTACGTCATCTTGAGTGGCAACATCTCATTGGATGGATGGAGCTGGGTGGCCATTGAAAAGCGGGTACCTCAAAGTGCAGGGAAGTGGGGAAAAGAGTTGGGTCTTCCTGCCTGATACCCCGCGGAGAGCCACGAAGCTTGAAATGCTCGTCGGCAGGCACGTTAACCGAGTGTGGTACGTGCACTGCACAGCGAGTCGAGTCGCCCTCACCGTGGTCTTGTACGAATGTCAAAGGAATCAAGCAATCCGATGCATCAACGAGGTTCAACCGTTATAATACCAAGCAATCTTTCCCCGTTCGTTTCAATGGATCCATAACCTCCCTTGCAGCATTAAGGTTCACGCATTCGACAAGTCAGCCAACAGGCGGGTCAGTCCTTACAAACCGTCCAATTAGTTGTGCGTGGTCACCGACTGATGTTGTTAGAAGTTAGCTCCAACAGCATGGGAATGCCACCGCTTGCATGCCAAGCACCCTTGTCGAGCTGGCCGACCGGCTTAATCTGCCATCATCTTGCGCCAGAAACCACAACTCCGGCCTTCTATCTCCGGCTTTCGCCCCTCGACCAGTTAACACGCTCGGGTACACGTCGACGTGGTTACACCGGACTTGCATGCCGTCAGACGATTCCGCTTCTTCTGGACAAATTGCGGCCCCGATGGAATGGACCACACGGTTCAAATAGAGAGGCGGCCCTCGAATTCATCCGGAAGATCTTTATATAAGACCAGCCGCCCCCCTTGGATATCCTGGCGACCTTGGCTTTGATCCATAGACTCGATATCAACCAGGACCACCTCATTTCAATCCGATGCCCAGTACCTACGCCGCTACCGCTGAGAGGTTGAAGGCGACTGTAGCAAATTTTGTCGTTCATGGAAATACTTGAGGAAAAGCATCCTCAGGTCTGCTTTCTGGAGGATGGAACGGCAATTTTGCCAAGACCGTTGGTGGCCTCTTCCGCCATGATTTGGCTAGTTGTCGACAGACCAGGGCTTGTGTTTGTGTCCATTATGCATGGCAGATGGATTTGTCGCTAATTAAATGTTAGTTACTTCTGGGCCTTTGCATCGTCTCCATCAAGCCTGATAGTGAACGCCGTATGGCCAGGCCTGCTTACGTTAACATGACAGGACCCCGACATGCCTGTCCATTGGGGAGTCGTCGTTGGCGGCAATCGCCAGGAAACGTGATTGATCGAAAAGATCGACCTTTGTGAAAGAACCATTCGGCTTTTTCGACCTAAGCCAAGTCGAGTTTGTTTTTGGAGATTTGATGCCGAATTTCGCTTCCGCAGTCGCAAGCCACAGAGAAACGAGTCTACCACACTGAGCTCGGATGTCGAAAGGATCCAATTTACGGATACCCTCCAATGGCTACCGAGGCGACGGGCACTGACCCGACCGATTACGAGGGTTCCAAGAAGCGCAGCCGTGTCAGATACTCTTGCACCATATGTCGCGAGAAGAAGTGAGTTTCCCATATACGAAATAACAGCCTTGGACTGCATCTGACAGCCTTGCGCCTCCCCCCAGGCGCAAGTGTAACCGCGGAGATCCTTGCGACCAGTGCGAGAAGCGGGGCCTTGCGAGCTCCTGTGTGATCGTACCATATCTGATCAGAGGAGGACCTGGTGCTAGCTCCGAACATGCTGCCCTTCGCCATCAGACACCGCAGTCTGCCGAAATGGCGGCTTTGCAAGCCAAGCTGCACCGTCTGACCGAGGAGTTGGGCCAAATGCGGAGTCGAGAGGTCGAGATGTCTCGAAACCCGATCTCGGAATCTAGCGCGTCTAGTGTCAGCGCCAAACAGCCTTCCAGCGGGACCGAAACCCCCAGCCTGATGGGAATCACGGAGCCGACAACTGCGGGCCCGATGGTGGACAGGGTGCGGTATGTGGATGCTGCCAACTGGGAAGCCATTCTCGACGACGTGAGTTTGGAAGGCATCGAGTAGCTTTACCACGTTTGTACTGATTTCTCCCAAGATCACCAGGCTCACGACACATTTTAAAACCAAGAAATATGTAATGTTTGATGCTGAAGAGCCTGAGGATATGCCTACCAGCAATGCTTCCTCGAAACCTACGGTCCCGTTTCTTCTTTCAGGAGCATTCCCAACAGCGAACATGACTACCCTCATGGCACTGTTGCCGCCAAGGGACATCACGAACAGGCTGATTAAAAGGTTCTTTGAAGGGAAAGAACCTGCTTGGTGTACGTCCTGAAACATCGACTGGCTAGGTATCTTACTGACTCGGCCTCCCTGCGTAGGTATGTTCCATGTGCCGACATTCTGGAAAGAGGTGAGAGTCAATGGTCCAAACATGACTACTTGTCGAGATGCTCACAGAGTCTAGTTTCATGAATTTTGGGAAGATCAAAGCCAGTTCTCTCTGACCTGGCTTGCACTCTTGTTCTCCATGATCAGCCACGCTGCCTTCTTTTGTCTAAGAGCAGACGAAGCCGTCCCTGGCGACTTGGGACCAGCAGCATATGTCGCCGACATTAATCGCAGTCACTGTGCGCGGTGTCTAGCTCTTGACAACTACACGACCCCTGGGAAGTACAAGGTCGAAACGATGATGCTGTACTTTGGCACAGAGTATCTTCGACTAGCCGATGCACAGCAAGGCACCGTATGCCATGAGATTCCCCGCCTTTAGGATGATTCCCCGCAGAACTGACGCAGAATAGGCTATTCTCATGTCCATCATCGTTCGTTTGGCAATGCACTCAGGAATGCACAGAGACCCGAGCCATTTCAAGGGCATGTCAGTCTTTGAAGGAGAGATGCGCAAGCGTCTGTGGACAATCGTAACCGAAATCGACGTTCTGATAGCCTTCCAATTCGGTCTTCCCTCCAACGTACAGTCTCAATATTTCGACACAGGTTTGAGCATTCTTTCCGATGTGATTTTACAAGTCTGATTCAAGCAGGTCTACCTCGCAACCTCCATGATAGGGAATTCGACGAGGCGACAGTCAAGCTACCCCCTGAGCGACCAATGACCGAAATCGAGCGGACACCGGTGATGTACACGATAGTTAAGTCCAGACTTGTAGTAGTATTTAGCGACATTGTCTCGCGCATGGCAAGCCGCAGCAGTCCCGACTACGGAGAGGTTCTGCGCCTGGACGAGCGGTTGGAAAGGGCCCACGAAGAAATCCCTCCCGTGCTACGAGATCGATCATTCACTCTCTCCGTCGAAGACACAGTCGATTTGATCATGCAGCGTCTTTGGATAGAGCTCATGTACCTGAAGGCCCGCATAGTCCTCCATCGCCGGTACTTTACAATTGGACGGAAGGATATCCGATTCGCGCACTCCAGGTTTGCATGCATCAATGCGGCAACCAAAATCTTGGAAATCCAATTCAACATCAACGAGGAGTACAAGCCTGGGGGTCGGCTATCACGCGAGCGCTGGTTCGTCTCTAGTCTGAGCACCCATGACTTTCTCCTTGCGGATATGATGCTCTGCCTGGAACTGTCCCATCTTCTGCGCCCAGAAGGCCGCAATACGATTGGAATACATATCGACAAGGAGCCTCTCCTTTCCATTCTTCAGGCGTCCAGAGATATTTGGAAGTCCAACCGCAAAGACTCCACCGAAGCCACTCGGGCTTTCAAGATTTTGTCTCGTATGCTCAGCTTGTCGACTGGAGACCATTACGAGAGCACCCCGGAAACTGTCAGCTCGGATGGAATGCATGGTACTGACATGGGAATGCGGCCGTCTTATCAACTCGCATGCAGTAGGTGCCCCCATCGGCACGGCGTTAACGTAGCCTCCTCAGCTAACTCGTGTAGATCCTGTCATACCTGCGTACATGCCTCCGCAACCCGTGGAAAATTCATGGATGGAACAAGATGGATCCGCTCGATGGGGTTACATGCCAACCGCGAGTTCGTCAGAGTCTATCCCCGTTCCTATGACGGGAGTGGACTCGGCCATGGCCTTGGACTGGGTTCGTTCGGACTACAAGACATTCACGTGTGTGATGCTAACAAGTTTTGCAGAGCGTTTGGGACACCAAAGTTCAAGATCCAAACGTCGACACGATCGACTTGCCGTGGCTGAAGAGCTTTACAGACTCGCTCAACGGGTAGGAACCCTTCGAGGGAAGGCCGGATGCTACTCAACAAGGTTGAATGGGTGATGTTGCTACCGTTGTCACTTGTGGTGCCACTGCCAACCCCGTACCGGGCACAGAGGATGCTGCATACTATTATATATACATTAAACGATGAATGAGAAATGATTTCAACGCACGAGCCCATTTGAGAAGTGTGTAGTGTTGGTAAAACCAAGTGTTATGGATCGAAAATTTGTATTCAATCAATTACCTATATGTATCAAGTATGTTCAAGAAGCTCTCATTGACCCTCATTGCACAATCATCCCATTCACAACAACCCGTCGTCACCCCCTCCCCTACGTCAACGCAACACCCGAAGCCGCAAACGTGGCATAAAACAGCTTCGTCTGTCCCGTGATAACCATTCTCCCATCACCCGCAAACTGGAAATTCGCCGCTGTCGTACCGGTGTAAATCTTGCCGATGAGTTTTCCCGCAGGGTTCCAGACGTGGACGCCGTCGTTGCAGCCTGCGTAGACGTTGCCTTTGGAGTCGCAGTGCACGCCGTCGGGGAGACGGGCGGATGTGTGGGCGAAGATTTTGCGGTTTTCAAAGGTGCCGTCTTCTTTTACTTCGAAGCGGTAGCTAGGAGGGGGTTAGATGGATTGATTGCTAGGGGAGATGGGAGAAGGGCGAGGGGAGAAAGGGGGGGGGGACGTACACTGTTGCTGGCTTGGTGAAGTTTGTGCCGAATTGGCCTTGCGAGATGCCCGTGTCTGTTACGTAGGCGTATGTGCCGTCCGGAGAGAGCGTGATGCCTGGGGTTCTCGAGTCAGCATTCTCATCACTAATACTAAACCTACATCTTGATCCAGGTTGGGTAATTCGAGTGGCAGAACATACCATTCGGCGATACAAACTCGTCCGTGACAACAGACAAGGCGCCGGTGGTGGGGTTGAGGCGGTACACCTGGTTCGGCAGGCCGGGGGCGGGGCGGAAGTACTGCCAGTAGCCGTATTGGGTGTCTGTGAAGTAGATGTCGCCGTTGCGGCGGGAGACGACGACGTCGTTTAGGGAGTTGAATTGGCGGCCAAAGTAGTTGTTTACGAGGACTGGGTGGGGGGTGGGATGGTTAGCTTTTTGAGATTTCGGGGGGAAGAAAGAGTTGGAGGGGGGGTTTGGGAGAGGTTTGGGACGAACTTGTGGTGCTGTAGGGTTCTACCGGGTTCATGAGGTACAGCGCCGAGGGTACACGCTCGCCTTGGCCTTCGCCGGCGAATATGATTTGGCCTTTGTAGTTTGTTCCACCTGCATGAGCGTCAGTCGTTGAAATCTTCCAACAGACGTGCTTGGAGAGTCAGTAGTCCTTACCATTGGGGTTGATGACCTGCGGATTCGAAGGGACGGTGGTGACTGTGACCTCCTTGGTACCCAGGGACCCATTGCGAAGAGCCTCGGCGTCGGCGAGGCGGATCTTTTGGACGATGGAGGACTTGTTGAGGCCGGTGCCTGCTGCGGGGGGTCCGGCGTTTTGGACGAAGAAGACTTCTTCTGTTGGGGGGTACCTTGTGTGTCTTTGTTAGCTGGTTGTATCTCACTTGTGAGGTGAGTCTAGGCAGGGTGGTGAGTGAGTGAGTGAGCGAGTGAGTGAGTGAGTGAGGGGGATTGAAACATACCATACGACTGCCTCGTGAAAGATGGGATCCGTCTCCGAGGTCGCGATGAGCGTCAGTGACGGATCGCTGCCGATGATGTCGTAGAATTCCGGGTCGTAGATGTGGAATGGCTTCTCGGTGAGAGACTCATGCGTGACGCCTGGCCAGAGGAATTCCTATTTTAATACTCATGTCAATGACTGGATCCTCTCTCATCAAACTCAGACTCATCAAACTCAGACTCATCAAACACGGTAAAGTGACTTCCGGATGACATACCGATGAAGCATTGAACTCCGAAGGAGGCGGGACGACCTCCAAGACATTGAAGCTCTTTTGGTCAATGATCTGAGCTTTCGCGGGGAGCGCCCTCTGTGCGATGGCCAGCTGGGCAGGCGCACCGGAGAGCAGGAGGCCCGCGACGGCGGCTACTGACGAGAAGGAGGAGGCCATGACGGAGGTATTTTGGAGCGACGACGACCAGGTGGTCAAGGGCGGGATTGAGTTGCAGGTTAGGAATGATTTATACCCCAGCGCCAAGGCCATGGTCTTTTCCCTCCTCTTGGAGCTCTTTCACCGATGCGTACGGATACCCAATATGAGATGTACGTAAAAGGTACGGATACCCAAAGTAAGGGTACGGTACGGTAGTATGAGGGGTAAAAAGGCGTGGAATGGCGGTTAGCTTGCTTGCATCTTAGGCCCTGTTCATGTTGATCCCAGGAAACTAGACTCCAAAAAAGAAGTCTGGGCAGTGGCCGCAGTGGACCATGAAGAGGGCGGACTGTCCTGTTCGGCGGAGATTACCCGGCTTGTCCAAGGGAATTAACGGCAGTTGTCCTCCTCCTCCTCCTCCTCCTCCTCCTCCTCCTCCTCCTTCTCCTCCTTCTCCTCCTCCTCCACATTGTCCACCCTGCGACTACGGATCGTTGCTTGAGTCGTACTCGAAGGACTCTGTCAACACCTCACCCCGGTCTGAAAAACCGCAGGCGGGCATGGGACAACAATGGCACACGAATTTCCCAGAGTAAAGATGGAAACAACAAAACGAACGGTAAGGATGGATGCAACCACTGCACGGTAAAGAACCCGGGGTGCGGTGCGGGGTGCGGGGAATAGAGACAAGCTCCAAAGCCGGGCGGGAAACGGACTGGACTGGACTGGGCTTCGATGATCTTCTTGCGTTTCGATATTGCTACCATGTCGTCCATGATCTGGTGCTCCAAATGGGCGGAGATGACGCCAGAGCCCCAGTCATTGGTGATGGATTTGTTACTTGGCAGGGGGGGATATCCGTACACATGATGGGCCGGGATGAGAGTCCAGCACCGAGCTCCGGCTCGGAGGCCGGGGCGGGATGTTAATGGCGTTCAATTGAAACGCCGGTAGTCTTGGTAGTCTAGGTAGTCGAGCTCAGTGATTAAGGACGCTTCTTTAAGCTTAAAATGGCCACAACCCATCATATTTCCTAGCGTACCATCAATCGGAAACTACATTCAACGTAGCCCAAGTTTGTTTCTTCTGTTGACCATTGACTTTTGGAGGGTTGAGTTCGGCTTGTGGTGGGTGGGCGTGGACTGAGACCCCTGTATGCATTGATTGAACGAACCCATGCGTCGGAAAAAGAGTTTGCGCTGTTTCGATATGTCCGTCGCGCGGCGAGAAGACCGGAAAAGCGGGTAGGACGGGAAGATGCTTGTCAATCACCATTCCAAAAGGCATGCAGAATGTGAGATGTTTGGAGGAAGTTCCCCTCACGAACACCATGGGTGTGGGTGGTTGTAGGGATGCTTGAAGCCATGTCAATCAACTCCCGATGATCAAGGGAAGTAATGCCGGGTGTTCGGGGAGAGGAAATAACACGGAGCGGTACGGAGTAATACGGAGTAATACACCACGACAAGCTTGTCGGCCACATCTAAACTCTTCCTCATAGCATGCATGATACATACACGCCATTCAGGTGTGAAAAAGAGACAAAAAGGATCCATCGTGACCCAAAGACATCTCACCCAACAACAAAAAGCAACGAGTGACAACTGTGAGATTCGAACTCACGCCTCTTTCGAGACCAGAATGCGCCCCGCTTACGGGGAAGTTACCATTTAATGGGACACTTGAGTCTGGCGCCTTAGACCGCTCGGCCAAGTTGCCGTATAATTCGTTGGACGGTTGGCGACGCCAGAAGGATCAAGTTGGATCGCGACTACAGGAGCTCCATTCTCATTGACAGCTTGGCGTTGACGATCGGAGCGACTTCGGTCAGTTTTCATCTCGGTGATCGTTGCTTCAAGAGATTCTTCCCGTGCCAGAGTCTTGGCTTGCTGTTTCTCGCTTTGGTTGGATGGGAATTGCAGCATTTGCGCGTTCTCATCGCTGGGAGGATCCATTGAAATGCTCCATTTCTGTGAAGAACTCCCAATATGTGGATCTTAGAGACTCATAGTCGCCCCGGCTTGTGTGGGCATGCACGCTCAATTCAACACCGGGAGCTACGCCCTAGAAGGCATTCGCGGCTCATGTCAGCATAACATGAAGGAATCAGACACCGCAGCTTGATTGACCATGCATCCTCTATTTCCTCATCCCAAGTTTTAAGACTCAAGTTTTCCCACTGAAAAGACGGAACCGCGAATCGAGGATTGGCAGCGCTTCAAGCCTAACCCCCTTGATGTGTCTCTTCCACCGAAAGGCCGTAATTCTATTCCCAAGTCTATAATCATACCAAAGAACCAAAGAACAGCCCATTTTAACTCATAAAACCAAATCCCGATATCTAGCAATCAGGCACACTAACAGGGATATTAAACGGCACGCTCGTCGCCAACCCACTCAAACTAGTCTCCTTGAACTCATTCCGCATCCCCTTGGCCGTCAACCGCATCGCCCGAATCGCATCATCCAGCCTAACCTTCTGCGTTCCCGTCTCACTGCTCAACGCCAAATTCGCGCTCGAAATCGCCTTAATCGCACCCAGCGCATTCCGCTCAATACACGGCGCCTGCACCAACCCCCCGATAGGATCACACGTCAGACCGAGGTTATGCTCGATCCCAATCTCGGCCGCCTGTTCAATAGCCTCGGGGCTGGCGCCCATGCACGCCGCGAACGCGCCCGCCGCCATGGAGCACGCGACGCCTACTTCGGCCATGCACCCGCCCTCCGCGGCGGAGATTGTGGCGCCGCGCTTGTAGAGCATGCCGATTGCTGCGGCGGTGAGGAGGAAGGTGGGGATGTCGCGCTCCGGGTCGTCTGAGATGAATTCGATGGTGTATTTGAGGACGGCGGGGATGATGCCCGCTGCGCCGTTTGTGGGGGCCGTGACGATGCGGCCTCCGGCTGCGTTCGTTTCGTTGACGGCGATGGCGTAGACTGTGAGGTAGTCCATTGTCGGGAAGGTTGTGCGGCGGGAGGGGGAAGGGGTGATGGGGTGGTCGAGGGAGCCTAGGATCCGGGGGGGTTGGCGGCGGCCGATGCTGAGACCGGGGACCTTGGATTTGGAGATGGTTGCCGGGGTGGATGCGGAGCCGGAGCCGGAGCCGGAGCCGGAGGAGAAGCCCGGCAAAGAGGCCTTTTCGCCGGTGCCCTTGTCGAGGGGGTTCGGGGAGGTGTGGCCGGCGGTGGAGTAGAGGCCTCGGGTTAACCTCCGGTAGAGAGCGGGAGCGCGGCGATGGAGCTTGAGGGAGCCGGGGAGTTTTGTGTCTAGCGGTGCTTGGACACTTTCCAGGATGCTCGTGTCCATGACCTGCCAGATCTTGAAGAGCTTGTGGTAGATCTCCTCATCCGTGTACCCGTGGCTCTTTTCGTTCTCGTACACGAGCTGGGCGATGGTGAGGTTGTGCTTGCGGCAGAGCGCAAGCAAGCTGGTCGCGTCGCGGAAGGGGTACCGGGGGCCAGAGGGTTCGCTGCTCTCAGATCCATGGTCGGCACCACCGTCGACGCCGTTTCCGGATGTTGATTCGATGGGGGATAGATCTGATTGTGTGCCATCGAGCAGCATCGGGTCTTCTTTTGCTTCGTCCAGGGGCTTGACCTCGGCGCCGGTCCTACGGTCTCCCGCAGCGTCGGAGCGGCGAATCTCCTTGTAAAACATGTTCTCCGCCAAATCGGCCGGATGCCTTCCGGTAGTCTCACCGTCTGGGCTATCCACCTGCGTCATGGACGAGGACGATGCCGGCGATGCATCCGGGTTGATGGACAGGGAACCATTGACGACGAATCCTCCGCCGACGCTAAACATGTCGTTCGTCGCCAAGACGTAACCCTCATCATCAAAGACCGTGAACCGCATGCCGTTGCTATGCATGGGCAACTTGCGACCCCATTCCCACACGAAATCCCTCTCATAGTCAAACGCGACCTCCTTGCCCTTGCCATCCGAGAGACCCTGGCCCAAGAAGAGCTTCTTGCTCGCCTTGATCTCGGTGAACCGCTCCGGCACGTACGCCGTGTCAACGGTCTCCACATCGGCGCTCTCGAGGCCGAGAAGCAGCGCCGACGGCGTCATGTGGCCTTCGCCCGTGAGAGCGAGGCTGCCGTAGATGGAAACGCGGATCTTGTTGACCTTGTGTAGGAGGTTGGCTTCCGCCAGATCGGCGACAAAGATGTTGCCGGCGCGCATAGGGCCTACGGTATGCGAAGACGAAGGGCCGATGCCGATCGAGAACAGATCAAACGTCGAGATGACGGCGTGCTCGTGGTCCGCCTCGCTGTAGCTTCCCGCATCTTCCTCGTCTTCCGCGGCGGCGGATTCATTGCGGCGCTGGGCTGTACTTCCGAATAGCCTCTTTGACAGCAGACCTGTGAATGCTACTGCTACTGCTGGACTACTTCTTTCAGTGTGTCGGATCTGGTGCCGAGTTGTCGGGTTGTTGGCCGAGAGAGTGGTGTAGCTGGGGCCGGCGAGCCGCGTTGAAGCGCGTCGAGCCGATGACGATGCCCCACGCAGCTGGGCAAGCCGCTGGATAGGACGGCTGCTCATGGCTGTTGCTTGGAACGAAGCAACGCCGGGTCAGTTGAATGACTTGGGAGAGCTTTATCTTTGGAGACGCAATGGAGGAGAAGAAGAAGAAGAAGAAGAAGTTTCTTGATGACGGGTGGAATTTGTAAACTTTGCGTTTGACAAGGCGGTCTAGGGGTTGCCCTGAGAAATAGATAAGAGCCAGAGCACAGATACAAAAGAATGCCGCACTCAGCACACTCAATCATCCCTGGGCTGGATCCCGATGGTCTGGGGTAAGACAAGACCAAGGACCCAAACAGATCGTCGCATTGGCCAATCATTTGCCGTAGATTTGTAAACTCCACCGAGGGGCATCAGCAGGGTAACGTAATGGTTTGGTGATGTTGCTTGTCTACTTTGTGGAAAACCTTGTTGTCTCTCTCGCTGAAACTGCCGACGTTGACAACGGTCGTTCATCGCAAGATGCACACATGTCAGATCGTTGAATTCTTTCAGGTGTTGGTTGGATGAGAGGAAACTTCATGCAATAGGCATCCGTATTTCAGGACCAGCCTTATCGTTATTGGACGAGTACAATGTCGTAAGCGACGTTAAGCCTGTTCGGGGAGGTCCCTCGCCAAAGGATCGGAGGAGGGGTGTTTGTCGTGGTGGTGGTCAACGCTTTTAGTGCCACGCATCATCTCACCTCAGATTCGGGTAGTTTCATCTTGGCGTGATAGTACTCACTGCATCTCATTTTCGACGGCTTAACACTCATACATCGTCTCATCTACAATCGCAATAATGACCGAACTGGAGAAGGATGGTGAAGATACTCTCTCGGCTGAGATTGAGACCACGAACGTGCATGAGCCTCAAACCGCACTTCATCTACAACCACAATCAGCCTTCTTCTCAGCTCTGCCCCTCGAGATCCGTCAAAACATATATAGCCACCTTTGGCAAGCCGCCGGATCAATCCAACACGTGTATAAATCCAGCGCTTCCCCTCTAGCGCCCCTCTCCCACTGCCGATGCATCGCCGACCTGGACGCCGAGGACATCCGCGAAACCGAGCTCTCCCGCGTCCTCAACACGCCGCCCGCGGACCCGTCAACGCTACAGGAAGGTGTCGGACCGGGATCCGCAGAGGAAAAAGAGACGATCAATACTTGGCGCTTCCGTATCGTTTCGTCGTGGTGTAACCACTGGACTTGTGAAGAGGAGCCACCTATTCTGCGAGAACTCGAGCAACCCTCGCTGGAAGACGATAAGGGGGAAAAGTCAAAGGATGGCTCCAAGGGGAAACGACGTCAGATTCTCGTCAAGGAGTTCAGCCCGTTCCTAGCCATCCTTCTTACCTGCAAGCGCATGCATCAAGAAGCAGTCGACGCCATCTACAACGACACAACCTTCTCCTTCATCAACACAGACGCCCTCGCCCGCTTCCTCGGCACCACATCCACAACCTCCCTATCCCGCATCAAAAAGCTGCACTTCACATGGCGAGCCCCAATAGAGACATATATGGACCCCGAAGAAGACGAAGTCATCGCCGAAAGGATCAAATGGAACGACACATGGACATCCGCCGCCGAAAAGCTCCCGCGCCTACAGGAGCTCCGGATCTGGGCGTACCCTTACTACGCGCGCTACCCGACTCCCTTCGAGGAGTGGTTTGAGCCGCTGCACCAGTTTGGGCGGAACAAGATGCCCGTGTCGCGGTTCCATGTCTCGTTGCGCTGGTTCCAGAATGTGCCGGAGCCGGATACGGGGCCGGTGGAGTTTTTGGAGGCTGCGCCGTTTGGGTATGAGAGGATCCCGCCGTGTCAGGAGAATCCGTTGCACTTTCACTGGCGGAGATTGATTGGGTTGGGGCCGGATGAGCCGAGGGTGCCGATTACGAGGAGGCAGGGGAAGAGGAGGTATGTTGGGAGGGCTTTGTAGATATTTCGGAAAACATAGACTTTTCGACGTGGCGTAGCAAGTTTACTTTTCAAGTTTTCGTCATTTTGGGTTCAATGTTATCATCCACTTGGCCTGATCTAGAAAATATACACTGCAAGCGCAGCAAATGGTGCTTTCCATGTATCAGACCGGATCTAGATCCGAGTTCGTTTAGAAGGAGGCTTGTTTGGTCGGGGTCACTACAAGCATCTTTACGTCGTGATGATGGGCTTGTGTGAAGTTGTCCTTCCGCGTAAATATCTTCATCAGGTTGCAAAGCGTGGCCTCCGGAGCGGCTGAAAGTAGTAAGCCATGCGTACATGGTGGCAACATCCCAAAGCCGTAAGAGACGGATCATATTCGTGGTCATATCCCATCGAGTGCTGTTGGGCTACAGATACATTGCTCCACTCTTTTACCCACTCTTAACCCCTCACATCAGGAATACATGACAGTACGTCATTTACCCCTAGGAATCCCTGGCTTCCCTCCACCACCAAAATCGCCTATCTACACATGCCAATTCGTCACGATGGCCTCGAGCGACGATAGTGACTCTGAAGGGTCTGTACATTCCTGTATCAACGTTGCGATACTTCCTAAAGACCTCGCAAGCGCCTGTACAGCTGACTATACGCCCGAGAAGTGTAATAGCGCGACTGTACGCCCACATGAACCACCTTCGCTAGAACGAGGCATACCAGGCCACTTCAGTCCCCTTAAAGTGCCCTATCGTAAGGCGACGGTACGAGACCTCCCCGATACTCTATTGAAGCTATTCCAGCGGTACGTACCACAAGGAATAGTAGAATCGTGGGTACAATGGACGAATGAAGCAGCACAACAAGGTCCTGTTCAGCAATACTCTCGAAGCCGCTTATGGAGACCGACTTCTGTAGAGGAAGTCTATTTGTACTTGGGGATCCTCATTTATATGGGAATCCATACCGAAAATAAGGTATCCAAGTACTGGTCAACATCTCAAAAGAACGAAGATCCTATCCATTTATTTACCCGATTTATTTCTCGAGACCGGTTCCAACTATTATCCCGCCGCTTACGTATCTTCAATACTGCTGAATTTACTATGCCTGACCCCCCTCCTACGAAGAAACGATACCGCGGTGAAGCCCAGCCTCGTGAGGACCTTATGCCTAAGGTCTATAGGCAGGTGAACCAGTGGTCTAGTCATATACAGGAAGTTGGTGATGGCTTCTATCTACCTGGTAGTAACCTCACCGTTGACGAGGCAATGGTACGATTTAAAGGTCGTTCTATTGAGAAGACAACAGTACCCAGTAAGCATACGCCAGTTGGCTACAAAGTATGGGTTTTAGCGCAGTCTGGATACTTCCTACGATGGTTGGTTTTGGCACGTCCACGGAAAGGGGCCGTATGGTCTTGTACCACAACAGCGGCCACAGCTTCAAAGGGAAAAGGGGGTTGACGACAGCCTCACGCCCACTCAACGAGTAGTTACTACGTTACTGACCCTACTACCCCTTGCTGAATACCACGTTTTCCTCGATAACCTATTTGCCTCTGTAAAGCTCTTTCGTGCTTTACGATTAAAGGCAATAGGGGCAACTGGAACCTGCCGAAGGGATGGGGGAATTGATCAGTTACTTGTTAATGAAAAGCAAGATGAAGGGAAGGGTATTCCCTGGGGTCAGATCCACTGTATCCCTACAAAAGACGGTCAGGTACGTAAGGCACATATGTTTTCATAGTATTTCTATACTGAAGGTTTGTTCCCTACATTTCTAGGTCAATCAGCTAAGCTGGAAAGATAATGCCTTGGTACTTTTCCTCACAACTGTTTATCGCGACACTGAGCAGATACTACGGAACCGTCGCCGGCCTACCAAGTCCTCGGCTGCCGCTCGTACCGCCCGAGAGGTCTTTGGTCCAGAAGCCCAAAAGAAACTGCCTATTCCTGTATGGATCGATGATTATAACCATAATATGAACGGCGTTGATACAGGGGATCAAATGAGGTCTTATCCCATCGAGTGCCAATTGGCAACAGGTACATGCCCTTGAGGGGAACTGACCACTCAGGAGACAGCCAAGACTTCTTCTAGCCAACCAAAAAGCCTAGATTATGGATACTTCTGTTGTCTATATACTCTGACTATGAAAGAGGTACCAGCAATCATCCGAGTTACAAAGCGCTACTCCACACTGCAGGCACCCTGACCTCGTCTTTTTTCTGTGGGATCGTGAGTGTTGTTGAACAGGGCCTCGTACTGCGGCTTCATTGGTCCACTGTACCCACGATTCAACCAGCCTCAAAGGCACATACTGCTGAAAAAGCTCTAAAGGGGTAGTAGATAGACCCCGTACTGTTGCGGCGCGGTAGGGCACGTCGAGGGGGTTGAATTGGCCCGGTGTGCCCCTTTCTAGCGGAGGCGATTCGTGTGGGCGTACAGTTGCGTTATCACACCTCTCGGGCCTACATTGAGCTGTACAGGCGCTATCAAGGTCTTCGGGAAGTACTGCGACGGTGATATGTGAAAGCGCTGACGAATCAGACGCATCAGAGTCGCTTGAGGACATCGCGACAGTTGCCCATCTGTAGAAATGTTAGTTGTGGTGGTGAACGCAGCTGGGAAAATATAGGGGTTGATGACGTACCGTCATGTATTCCCGCGGTGAGGGGGCAAAAGTGGGTCAAAACTGGGCATAATGTACCTGTTGCCAATTGGCACTCGATGGGATAACCAGTATGGGCGGCCAGTTCGACGAGGGGGGTGGCAATCCCTTACGTGGAACTTTCTCTTAGAAGTAGTAGTTGTTAATAGCTTCTTTCTCCAGCTCTGGGGCGAGCCGGAATGGGCTCGGGCCAACTCTCAGTACGAATGGCGAAGGACCCTTTCCACCCAGCTAATTCAGCGCTTTGGGCCATTAGTTCATGGGAGGCAACGGGCCCGGCCCTAGAGGGCCACTGATACAAGAGAGAATTCCATTCCATGGCAACAATATACGAGGGTATCACGGAAGCCCTCTGCTTGCTTGTCTTGTAACAACAAACGAATAGCATTAGGCGAAGTCATACGGAACTTGCGAAGAGATAGGAGAAAGAAGACGAGGTCAGGATGTAAGCAGTGTGGGGTTGCGATTTGTAACTCTGATGATTGCTGGTACCTCTATCACACCCAAAATATATAGGCAACCGAAGTCGAAGTACCTTTCAAATAGGGCCATTGATTGGTCGAGAAAACTCTTGGCTGCTCCTGAGTGGTCAGGATCCCTTCTGTGAATGTATCTGTAGCCCAACAGCACTCGATGGGATAGGAACGAAAGTTGAACAAATGCAGAGTAGTATGAAGCCATAGTTTGAAACGAATAGAAAAGGCTATGATGAATCTAAATATCTAGTTGAGAACGCTCAATAGCTCCGCTAAAATTCAAGGCTCACTTAATGCATCTAACACGCTCAAAGATCAACACTCGGCATCGCAGAATGCGTTGCGCAAATATTCTCCTCTCGACAGGTAGCCCGTTGCTCAAGCTCCGCGTTGTCACTTTCCTCAGCCAGAGCCATGACAAGAAGCAAATTCTTGGCAAGAGTAGCGAGAGTAAGCGAAAATTCCTCCAAGACACCACAAATCTCGTCACTACCATCCGCCTCTGCAAGACCCAAAGACTCAATCTCGCCGAGACCCTTCTTGCAAGCATTGATAGCCGCGTGGATCTTGTTGATAGGCTCATTATGCAGCTTCTGAATCAACCCCTCGCTCTCATCGAGCAAGGCATCAGAGCCGTTGGAGCCCGCGGCTTGCATGTAACGCTTACAACCGTCTTTCAGATCGGACAAGGCCTTTTTTAGCAGCGTTTGTGTGTTTGCTACGGTTTCCTTTAGCTCTAAGGCGTTTCCGTACTCGTCGTCTGGAGCGACGTCCGACAGGATGGCCATCACGCCATCCAGGCCGTCGGCGAATACAAGCAAGGCATCCTCGTACACGTACACGGGCACAGGCCCGCGTTTCGCGTCAAAGGCGGTGTTATTGGTGAGGGCGTTTTGCATCGTCACCAAGGCATCGGTGAGCTTTGATGTCGTTATCTGAAGCGTACTGAGGTCTCTAGGACACCTGGGTGGAGGCAGACGCCCAATGGCGTACTGCTGCAGATAGCCTCTGATTTCCTGGGCGTGTGGCCCGCCGTGCGTCTCGGCGAAGCGCACATCAGCGATGGTGCCTGCTGACTCGAGGAGTGTCTTTGGTCCGCCTGGGTGGATAGTTAGGAACGGCGTCAGGTCGTATACTGTTCCGTCGATGGCGGCCCAGCTTGAGGTGATTGAGTTGTGGGCTGCGAGCTCGGAGGGAGTGACGATGGGCAAGGTGGACGAGGGGCCGGAAGAAGACGGCGCTCGCGGTTTGGAAGGTCCTTTGACGGCTGTGAAGAGATCTTGATGGAGTCTTTCCCAGTGCGCGGGTGGCGACGGGATCTGTGTGTAGTTGTTCTCATCGTGTCCCTGTGCTTGTTGCTCTTCTTGCTGCGGTTGACCCAGTTCAAGACCACTTGTTACCGTGGCCCCAAAGTCAGAGCTGCCGCAGACAAAGAGATGACCGCCCTCCTCTTTCACAAGACGATGGACGGAGTCCCGGTACGCTACCAAGTGGCGAGTCACGCGCCGTTCCCCCTCGGCAAGCTGGGTCCGGGTACCGCCGCGGATTCTGAGGTGGTGTGTCTCCTGACTGAGGGCCAGGATGACAGTCAATGGCAAGACCCTGGTGAGATGTTCCAGGCTGTGGAGTTGACAGGGGACATGGCGGCGTGTTTTGGCGGCGACCACGAGGAGCAGCTCGCCCACCTCGCCGTCACCAATCTGGCGCTGCTGTGCCCATACCGCCCGGTCGTGCAGGAAGCCTACCAAGGGGCCGATGCCGCTGCCCTGGCCGACTAGGACCAAAGGTACGGAAAGGTCGCGAGGTTGGCGGAAACGTAGACTGGGCCATGGGCGAAGACGTAGATGTGTGCCTTGGGCCGCGTTGCTCAAAAATGAGGAGACGAGGCCCTGGGGCGAGTGTTGACTGACTGTCAGAGTGATGGTTATGCCGCCTCCCGAGTCTGGCGTGACACGCGCGATTGAGTAGAATCTCGGCTCGGCCTCATCATCTCCATCGTCGCCGTCCTCATCTGACGACACATCATGGTCTTCAGGAGGGGTGGAAGCCCGTACCCGTCGCTGGTGCGAACTGCTGGCGTTTCTCCTCTTCCTTGACGGCCAGACCTGCACTCGATCGCCCGCCTCGAGAGGCAACTTGGCATCCAATCTCACTTCAACCACTGTGCTACCCTCGTACACAGTCTGCGACTGGATACGCGCATCCTGCCACAGAGGTCGGCCACCCAGCCGCGACGCCATGCCCGCCTTCATCTGCATGCTTAGCATAGCCTCGGGCCGCATCTTTGGCTTCCCTTTTCCTTTTCCTGATGCCATTGATGAGCCAGCATGTTTGCACTGGTCGCCGCTCTTGACGCCACTGCTCGTCGAGTGCCGCCCCGTATTCAGCGACACGCCCGTGACGCCAATGGCCTTGACGCGGTGTCTCTCGAGAAACCAAACGTACATCTGCAGAAGCCCGTCCCACGCCGCCTCGAGATGGCGGTACTGCGACTGCTCTTCCGAGGAAAGACGGTGCGTAGCACGGGCGGTGCACGCCGCGACGTAGTCTCTCACGCTCCCCGCACCGTCGCCGAGGGCATCCAGAAAGGCGCGTATGTTGGCCGGTAGCGTGGCTTTGCGGTCGTTCTGCATCCCTGTCAAGTCACCCTTGACGTCTTGGCGGCCGATAAAGACGTCGAGCGCGTGAAAAAGCGGCGTGTCGGCGCCGCTGTTACCCAGTTCGCCGGGCGTGACGGCGCGGCCCATGGCTGGGTAGGTCTTGATCCAGACGACGGGGTCAAAGGTGGCCGCGTCGCGCAGAGTCATGGACTCGAAGACGTTGGCGCACTTGACAATGTTGGCCGCCAGGCTCTCGAGGCAGTGCGTGACTTGATCTGGCTCATCTGCCAGCACGCCGCTCTGTGCGAGGGCCATGGCGGAGAGAGCTGGTGCGAAGATGCCCTCCATTGTGCCTTGGAGTCCTGAGGAGAGGCGTTCCTCTGGGAGGCCAAAGTAGGCGCTGCTGAGGTTGAATGCGGCATTTCCCACAGCATTGTTGAGGACATCGTCGGCGGGCACCTGTGGTGAGTTAGCTTCTGCAGCTTCGAAGATGTCACTTTGTGTACTTACCCGCCCTGTCAGGTTTCTCCCCAACGTCGTGCAAACTCTCTCCCACGGATCAAGAACGTGACGCGGCACCTGAGATTGTCCCTCGTTCTCTTTTCCCTTGTCTTGCTCCTCGCCAAACATGTAAGCGTGAGCCAGCCCGCTCAACACGAGCGCAGCTCGCGCCAGATGACGCTGTTCCAAGTCATCCCACGCATTTCTACCACCTACAGCCGCCTTCTCGCGCAGGGCGTCAACGGCATGACGCACTCGTCGTGCGCGGAGTAGACGGGGCAAATTTCCGTGAACCACCTCCCACGCTTTCAGGGACTCTGGCAAGCGTTGGATTTGGTTCAAGCTTCTTGGAGAATTACTAATACTACGGGTGATGACGTTGCTCGGAGGCGTTGCTTGACATCCAAGGAAGCCCCTGGAGGTGGTGAAGCACCCATCGAGGCCCGTGCCGAAACGGAGTGTTCGTGTCTCCGTCCCCGTTTCCGCTCCGAAGGCCTCTCGGTCCCGGAACTTGAATTCTGTTGTTGATGACGTGCGTCCGGCCAGCGCCGTTGCCAGGGATGCCTGGGCGAGCAGAAAGCTGGCCTTGGAGATGGGGCAATCGATTAGTGTTGCGTAAGATTCGCTTGTGGCGTGTTGTTGTTTCTGGGCCGGGGTTTCCGGCGGCGTGATGATGCCTCCAGCTGAGAATGTTTGGGGCACATTAAGAAAGATTGAAGAATTTTTGTGCTTGATTACATCTTGTTGTGGTTTTTCCTTGAAGGAACACTGCATGGGAGAAATGGGAGCCGACACTGGCGTTGAGGGTCTTTGATAGACAGACATAGTAAGTAACTTGGTGGGAAAAAATATTAATGAACAAGGTGTAAGGAAGTGTAGTTACGACAAGATGAAGAGAGAGGCGAAGTTACTGGTTCCAGATCAGTGATCACCAAAATGTGAGGCAAAATACGTTGACTTCGTGATTCATTAAGCATACAACTCAAAGCTATTGTGATTGTCGGTCTGTCAGGAATGTTCGGAATAGGCAAGTCAGTAAATATATGTAAATGTATTTTAATGGAAACCAGGAGAGAGATATTCTCCCTCAATCTTGTTGCGTAATGCCTATTACGGCGTTTGGAAGCTTGCGCCACCGAGCCTGCGGCCTCCACTCGAAAATAACCTCAAAGGTACCTTCACAAATTGGTTGTGATTACGAAAGTATTTCGTATTCAGATGATATTTCCAACCGAACCGGCGTTTATTCTATACGCGGCATTTCTTTTAATGGCCTCATACCCGAGCAGAGCAGACATCCGGCATGATGGATCGGCAGTGCAAAGCAGAACATCTTGCTGTTCGGCAGTGCCCCGACGGTGTGGTTGACAACCGTCTGATCATTCCATCTATACTAGCCCCTTTGGGTAGCCAGGACGATTATACACCGTGCACGACCGGGTATATGGTGCCTGATTAAGTCACATATGGTTCTCTAGAATACGAATACACGCTCGTCCAAGCGCAGGATGACGGCGCATCTGGGCGCAATCTCTTCGCCAAGTTTAAAGACCTTAAAGTTTGAACCTAGGAAAATTATTCTCATGTGATAATGTCCGATTCCGTCATATCGGTAATCATGCGAGGAAGCTTCCAGTCTTTCAAAGCTCTCCTGGTCGACTTCAGAAGAACCTAGCTACCTGTCCGCGGAACCTCTACCGAACCTCCCCGTGTCAGCTCCGAGCTCAAGCCGTCGGCCCTTCAGGCACACGGCTACGTCAAAGCACCCTGCCCTTTACTTCGGGCCCCTCGGACCTTGCGAATGCGAAAAATCACGACACAGTACACTTCCGGCGTCGGGGTTGAGTCTATCGATTATATGAGTTGCCCGTTGGGGAAATCCTTTTTTGGGATGCTCGGTTTCCGCCTTGCTGTGGTCTTAGTAACTACCCAGGCCATATCAGCTTCACTTGAAATTTTCACCCCTCATGTTGGAGAGTCTGGACTCGGACAGTGGCGACAGCCTCTTTTGAGTCTTCATTATTTCTCCTCAGATCGGTACTCTTCCCCGGAGATTCGGAGATTAACCACCGCTTGTAGGATCCAGATCGAAATAAAGTCAAAAAGCGAGAAGAGAACAAGTTGAACCAGCACGTCCTTCGGAACTTCGGTCTAGAACTCCCCACTCACTAACAACTGGAGGCCATCATGTTTCTCGACATCATTCCATCCAACGTTCACCTAATCAACCTGGCGGACCTTCAGAGACATCTCTGGACCCTCGGCCCGGCCATTCTCGGACTTATCGTCCTACGCACCATCTACTACCTTACCCTCCACCCCCTGGCAGAATACCCAGGCCCCTTACTCGCACGCATCACTACCATCCCATGGCTATGGCACCGCGCCCACGGTACCAACCACAGCTGGCCACTGCTCCTCCACAAACAGTATGGCCACGTTGTACGCATCGGTCCAAAGGAGCTGAGCTACAGCCACCCCGATGCCTGGCACGACATCTACGCCAAGGCAGGAGGAGGTGGCGACATGCCAAAGGACTACGTCGGACTGGGACCGGACATGGCGGCCCCCGAGAAGGGCATCGTGCGCGCCGAGAATGACACAGACCACCAGCGGCAGCGGCATCTTTTCTCGCACGCCTTTTCCGACCGTGCCGTGCTCAAGCAGGAGAGCCTCGTGCAGGGCCATGTCCGCAACTTGATGAGCAAGCTGGCTGATGAGAATGTGGAGCCAGCTTCTACTTCTGCTTCTTCTTATCGTGATGGCCGCGTCGACCTCATGACTTGGCTGAGCTACCTCGCCTTTGACATCATGGGCGACCTCATGTATGGCGAGCCGCTCGGCATGCTTGAGAGCGATCAGTCAGCCCGCCAGTGGGTACGAGACACATACTCCACCATCAAGACAGTCACGCTTGGCATGACCATGATGGGATGGCATGCTCCTCTGGGGCCGTTGCTTCTGAAATACATCTGGGGTGGCAGTGGTGAGCGCCGCGCCCGACACAACCGCTTCTCAACAGACCGCGTCGACAAGCGGCTGGACCGCGGTGACGACTCCGGCAGTGATATCTGGTCCATGATCATGCAGAACAGCGGCAGCGAGAAGAAGCCGGGCATCTCTCGAGCCGAGATGTACTCCAACGCCGCGACTTTCATGATTGGCGGCACGGAGACCACCACGGCTGCCACGTCGGCCCTGAGTTACCTCCTGCTCACGCACCCGTCCAAGATGGCTACTCTGCGCGCTGAGCTCGATGCCGCGATCGAGGATCCAGAGACGGACATGACTTTCACTCGCCTACGGAAGCTGCCGTACCTCAACGCGTGTATCGAGGAGGCCATGCGGCTATACCCGCCTGCCCCGACGCCGATGCCGCGGATGGTGCCTACTGGAGGCCGTGTTGTCTGCGGGCGCTACGTGCCGGCGGACACGCGTGTGGATATCTCGCTGTACGCGATTGCACATCATCCTGATAACTTTTTCGACCCTGAGGAGTTTGTGCCAGAGCGGTGGCTGGACGTCAAGGACCGTCCTGCCGAGTATGCTGGTGATCGGAGGGATTGTGTCAAGGTGTTTTCGGCGGGACCGAGAGATTGTATTGGCAAGAAGTGAGTTTTACCTTGACTTCCATCTCTTCTCTCAGATATTTGTGCCTGAAGTGGAAGCCATTGACTAATCTTTCGTGTAGTCTTGCGTACCCCGAGATGAGACTCATCATTGCCAGTCTACTGTATAACTTTGACCTTGAACTGGCTGACCCTAACTTTGACTGGTTGGACCAGAAGAGTTACGGTATTTGGGACAAGCATCCGCTTTGGGTCAAGGTGGTGCCCCGCAAACATGTAGGGTCCATATGAGACATGTTCTTTGACATTGCACTGCCTATAAGGTCGGAGGTGATTATTCGAAATTATCTAGTAACTTTACTTGAGCTGGTCTATAATAATAAATGAAGTCTTGCTACACTCTCCTGATTCAATAATACAATACGGTGTGAATGAGTCACATGTACTAAAGCTTTGCCCGACGCATGTGTTGAACTATGTTGCATCATTTTAAGAATTTCAAAGGCTAAATCAAGTAGTTTCCAAAAAGAAACTATTCCATCATCGTACGAAAATAATTTTAACTAGATTCATACGTAGTTGACCAATGAAGCTCATTCCCAAAACCTTGGTCCAAAATAGGCGCTGAACCCCACGCCCTTACTAGAAGAGGAAACAGATGCCATGGTATGCAGACCAGTATCTCTCTTTTTGCCGCTTTTTAGGTTGAAAGGAATCACGAGTCAGCATGCACACTCATACGCTCATTAGGCGCCTCGATGAAGAGACAAGGGGTAACACTTACAAGGCGTCTCGAACAGCAGCTCCAAAGTCGTACTCTCCAGACATCATTCCCTGCGTCTTGAGTATACGCTCATAGCGCTCGACAACTCCGGCCTCGTCACGGGCGTATTGCCATATGGGCACGTACATCTTGATGTGCGGGACCCTCTTTCCCGGGACTATCTCAAAGGCGAAGCAGAGCCCGCAATACTTGCTGTGAGGATCGTTGAGCGGCTTTTCCAGGCCGTCTATGTCGGCCGAGGAAACGTCTTCCATGTCCATGAGTAAGGGCCAGACCTGTGGGAGGAAGGCGGCCGAGGAAGCAGGAAGCCGGTCGCCTAGGGTGAAGACATTACGAGCTGACGCGAGCGAGTTGGCGTGAGTGTGGACGTAGACCTTGAAGCGAGGCTTCTTGTTGCGTGCCAGGCAGTCGATGGCGAGAAAGTAGATGTTGATGTTGTCCTCGCCCTGGGAGACGAGAAAGGTTTTGAGGAGTCCCCATGCGGCCAACATTGCCTCGTCGCCTTCAGCAAGGCGTGTTGCAACGGACTCGGTGATGTCCACCAGCGACCGGCCCGTTGCGAGAGCTTTGAGTTGAGGGAAAAGGTACGCCTTCATGCTGATGGTCGCATTCTCATCGGACTCGAGATCGAATCCAGCATAGCAAATTTGTCGCGGCAGCGCACCATCAGCTTTCACTTCGAGCAAGCCTGCCTCCTCTTCGGCAGTAAGGAGGACAGAGTCTATAAAGGCATCTAGCCAGATACGATCCGCATGGCAGGCAGACGCCAGACCTTCCAGCTTCTCACGTAGTCCCTTCTGCCCTAAGGGGTCATTGCCCGCGGGCTCGGGGCTGGGATTCACCAAGGGCTGCACCGTAAATCGCACCTTGGCCCCTTTTTGAGATGAAAAGGCAACGCTTGCTTCGTAAGGTGATTGGTTGTGTGTCAGTATGTAGTGCTGCCTGTCAGCCGCGGTAGGTGGCTGCTTGAGACGAGGGACCACGGCTGCACGCACAAAGGCGAGATGGGCGTCCTGGACGTGGGTTGAGTAGGAGCCCGTCCAGTGTAAGAGTGAGGAAAGGGTGTTACGGAGAGTGGGGAGCCATGAGGAGACGAGAGGACCTCCTTTGGAAGTGGAAGTAAAAGGGGCAGAAGAAGCCTCAACTTCGTTGTAAATGTTCCTCTTGGTGATTCCATTGGCTTGATGGGCCATCGTTGGGTGGTGAATTTCCATGTTGAAGCTAGTTGAAGTCCAAATTTGGTATCCTAACTCTGAGTCTGGCGTTTATCCGCACTAAAGTTGCCTTTTCCCGCTTTGATGGCCACTTCTGCTCTTCGGGGGCCTCGAGTCACCAAAGCTCCTACATTGGAGTTTACTTGAGTCACTTCTTTTTGAGCCTGTATGTGTCGAATGCTTAAGTTGACAATGGGTTGCCTGTTTAGGAATCTCAATCGGTCGTTGTAGTTGAGATAAACCAAAGCTCCATAGAGGCTAGGTCGTTTTCGGAAAGCGAATGCGAAAGCGTACAGTTTGCGCGGTATAGCCAAACCTATTATTGATTAGACACATTTGGGTTCCTGAGGTCAAGAGTGAAGGGCTGTTCTAGACATGAGAAATCAAGGCTGAATGATGGGCAATCTCGATATGACGTGATTCCTGACAGGGCTGGACTTGAAGTTTAAACTAAACGTTTCATGCGGAACACGCGGAAGGTAAGATTCTTGTTCGGGCGGCCGGGCCATCTCGACGAACTGGTGGGATGTTCGCTTAGAGTTTGGGAAGTATCTAGTTTGTAAGGTTGACGGGCGTGACGGGTCCACGGGCCCTAACCTTGATGCATGTGAAAACGCTTTCCTCATGCAAGGTGGGGATCTCCCCGTATAGCAGGTCTCTTACGGAAATGCCTTGACTAATCGGCCCCGACGGCGTCGGAGTCCGCTTTTTCCACCGCCTTGGCCGGGGCGGACTGGAAGAGATAATCTGCCCACGCGGCCGTTTCAACAACGTGAAGCATAGTAGTATTGAGCGATATCCCATTTTCATCTTCTCTTAGCATGAAGATTTAGAGACATGACAATTTTGACAGGGCCATGGCGTAATGGGCACAAATTGAGCACAGCGAATCCTGATTCGTGAGAACACCGTGTAAAAACAGTAAATCCTATAGACTTTGCGTTCGGACAATCGGCTCTTATAGCAGGACCGCTGTCATCTCTAATCTCGTATGATAACCGACCACCGGGCACGAATACGAAGCTTAAGGAATTGACTCAAAGTCCCTCATCGCAACCATCACAGCCCTCTATAATATGCAAAGCCCAAGGCCCCCTGCAATGTAATCACTCAAGCCCGGGACTCTTACTCATATCCCTCTCAGAAAACGTCATTTATACCAGAGCACAAGCAGTGCCGAGCCCGAAACCCGCAGGACTTCCTATCTTCACCACCCCTGACCTATAATACCTCAACATACAGACCCAATTGCAAATAATACCCCGGCTTAAAGAGGGAAGCAATTGAAAAAGAAAACAAAAGAGCGATACGCAATACCAATACGTCAGCAAGTACAAGGAACAGACAATCGTCATCCTCAGTCGACATGGCTACCGGCATCGCAGAACAGAATGAACAAATCACATACCTCCGCTCGGTTCTGTCCGTCTTAACCACTTCAACTCATGACCTCATCGCCGAGCTCGCATACTCTTCGGCTAGTAAGTCTACAGTCAGCAACGGACATGAAACTACGAAAAATCATGCAGATACTCGAATCCCGAAAACTGCCAAGGCGGAGGAAGCCCGCAAGCGCATCATTGCCGCCACAGCATCCCTAGAGGCGGCCGTTTTGACACCCCAATGGCGTCTCGGCCACCTGGCTCATAGCTACTTTGTATCTCGCGCGCTACATATGGCTGTCGAATGGGGGATACCCCAGCTTCTGGCAACCAATGGCCCCATGACGCTCGACGCTCTCGCTTCTAAGACGGGCATCGTCGATGCGAGCAAGCTGGGCTTTGTAATGCGGACCCTCTGCTCCCACCACATCTTTGCCGAGACGGCCCTTAACGTCTTTGCAAACGACGAGGCGTCCACGGCCCTCGCTACAGATGAACGCCTCACCAACTCTGTCCGCTACGCCTCCTTCCTCTTTCCAACAGCTGATGTGCTGCCTGGCCTGCTCAAGGATCCCGTCCTCTGCGCTAGCTACGCGCCGCGAGACTCGGCGTTTGCCAAAAGCATCGGTAAGGGCATGGGCCAGTTCGAATACCTCAACGCGCACCCTGAGTGGCGTGACTGCTTCGACCTGTGGCTCGCTTCGCTGGGAGAGTATCTTCATGGGCTGACCGACGTACGGGGGTATCCCTGGGACGCCGCCCTCCGGAACGGCGCCGTGATCGTCGACGTTGGGGGTGGACTCGGCAGCTCGATCCAGGCCTTGCGTACAAATTTCCCTAGCCAGAAGAATGACTTCATCGGCATCGTCCAGGACCAGCCCGGCATGATCGCACACGCCACGGCACACTGGAAGAAGACGGATCCGCAGGCGTTGACCTCGGGCGCGGTCAAGCTTACCCCTCACAACTTCTTCAATGAGAATCCCGTCAAGGGCGCCGACGTGTACTGGTTCCGGTCGGTCATTGTAGACTGGCAGGATGAAGACTTGACCACTATGTTCACGCACGTCAGGAACGCCATGGCGCCTGGAAAGTCGCGTCTGCTTATTGGCGAGTACATGATGCACCCGACGTGCGGCGACGCTCTGCTTCCCGATGCGCCTGCCCCGTTGTTGAAGAATTACGGAGAATTCCAGGCCATGGGGCTCATTGCAGGGTTTGTCCTAACCGCTAGTCCCAACGGTCGCCAGAGGAGTTTTCAAGACTTGGATAGGGTTGTCAAGGCAGCTGGACTGAAGATTGTCAAGGTGTGGATCTGTCGTGGTCTGGGGAATGTGATTGAGTGTCGGTTGAAGGAGGATCGTGTAACTGGCACGGATAGTAGCGATTAGTACTTTAAGTAGGTAACTACCAGATTTGATGAATCAATCTTCTTGCTTTTTTTTCGTTTGAAAACATGTCCAACGACCAGTTTTTCATATGAGTTTTCGATATCAGAGGCGCGAACAACTCCCTGCGATGATCTCGGTGCTTCGTGTAGTAATCTTCCACATTTTGACTCCCCTGTGCTAAAACGTCCACTACCCAGGACCTTATTGTTACGGCCAGCTAGTCGTAGGGGTAGTTTGCAGAAGTTGAGGCTGCGGAACTGGTAACAGTAATCGTAGTCGTGGAATAGTTTCAAGGAAACTATGTCTGTCAATCGTAAGGGTAGGTAAGGCTTCGGTGATCAATCGTAGTCTTGTCAAGGTAGTAGCTGAAAGCGGATGTTAATCCTGATACGAAGTTAATTGCTGAAGAGCTATGGAAGTCTGTCCTAGAGTCCAGCTCAAGTCCATCCTTATATACAAGTCCTGATCCTGAATATGTCCCTTGTCCCTTGGGTCGTCTTGGGTCATTCTGATCCAGAATGATCGTTTAGCCCCCAAGTCGTGTTGGATCATATTGATCCCAAATGATCCTTATCTTATCATCACGTGACTTGTACCATAGTTCTTCCGTTCTATAAAGAGTAATTAGTATTTCAATTGAACCTATATATATAATGTACTATAGCCGCCGTGGCCTGCGGGGCAGGCCCGAACTTGACTATGTATGTTAGGTCGTAACACTTTTTACGTATTAATATTATATATTTTATTCATTTAAAATATTTTAACTTTATATTTAGTTATAATAAATACTTAAATGAAATCTTTTTAAAGCTATGGAGAATAATTTTAAATTAAGAGTAACTAACTAACTTATAACTCATTTAAATTATTTATTAAAAGTTCTTAGGTTTATATAAAAAATAGGGCCTATATTTAAAGTAGTAACTAAATATAGTTGTCGTAAAAACGACGCCGTTAATTACGGGTAGTAATTAACGCTATATATATCCTACGATAATACTAGGTTAGTAAGTTTTACATAACGCACTGGGAGGTGTTCCTAGACATTTGGTACCCTATTGTAGGGTTGTATTTATATCGAAAGCCATGTATTATAATGATGGAATAGAAGGCTATTAGCTAGTATGTATAAGCTATATAAGCTGTACTTAAGCTAAATTAGAATAGCTATCTCAGGATATACCTTTTAAGATAACGATATAATCTAAGCTATTACTCTAATTAAGCATATTGACCTCCTATTACTAAATCCAATTTTGAGGAGTTATAAGTAACCGTTATATAGTGAAATCCCGAATACTGACTTCCTAGTTTCCCTCTTCGCCCTTACTCAAACATCCCAACTCTGCTTCCTTGCCAATTATTTGAGCATCGTCGGCATTCTCCATGTCATCATCCCAGTATCTCTTTCCACTGCCTTCGAGTCCCTGTATGCTGCCGTGGATAGACGAGCGAATTGAGCCAAGAACCTTGCCGGCCCGCGTGACGTGCAGAGACTTGTCCGCTTGTTTCTCTGACTCTTCCATGGGGAACTTGGGCGGAGGTTCTGAGTTACTGTCATCTCGGTGTGATGATGTTGATGGTGATGCATTGGCTTTATCTTTCTTGGGCTTGGGCACGCGGATGTAGTATATCCCAAAAGCAGCGATAGCGTTGAAGAAGATGTACGCAAACAAGATGCCCAAGTCGCGCCAGCGATTGCTGAACTCCACGTGTACCCCTGCTAAGACCTGATTCGTATTGTTAGTCGTGCAATACTTGCAGTTGTCCTGGACGGACGGATTATCGAGATATCCGCCCGCCATGGCGATGAAGGGCTGCAAGTACTCCCCACACGTCTGTCCAATAGGCGGGTTCACGAGTAGGAACTCGTTCTCGGCGCAGTGGATCTTGGCGTTCGCGAGACCTGTGCCCAACAATCCCTCGACGAGATAGGTGAAGGGGTTAACGCGGTACACCCAAACCCAGAACTTAGGAGGCGTTCCGAGGATGCCGTTGAAGATGAACATCATGACAAACAAGAGATTGCCGATGCCGGCAGCCTGGTCGGCGAGGTCAAAGGCGGCCCCGATCATGTGCGCAAAAGTGCTTGCTTGCAAAAAGAAGACAAACATAAACAGCACGGCCAGCCCGCCGCGTGCGGCGGTGTCGTTTGTCTCTGCTGCATTACGCTGTAGCCCGACGAGGTAGTACCACGCCACAAACGCCGGCGGGGCCATGAGCGCGTTGTAGGCCATCTCGACGATCATTTGCGCGCCCATAAAGGCGGCCCATGAGTATGTGCGTGAGGGCTGCTCACGGCCCTCGTAGAGTGTGCGTTGGGACACGAATATGGGGACTATCTGTTGCATCAGGTTGAGGTGCGTTGTGAGGAACATGAAGATGGCGATGGTCTGGATCGTGATGCCCACCTGCGTGTTGGGTAGGTTGAGCAACGAGAGACCGATGAAGAGAGCCGAACCGAAAGTCAAGAGAATCTTTGCGTAAATGTAACTCGGAGTGCGCCAGTAGTGTCTGGACAAACGCCTGGTCACCTCGAAAAACTGGGTGATTGTGGGAGCGGCGAAGGGGGGATCATCTTGTTGTTGCTGCTGCTGCGTTGGATCTTGGTGTTTTGTTTCTTTGAGTTTGGCCAAATGAGCCTTGACCTCTTCATACTCGGTGCTTTGTCGCCATACTTCGGGCCAGTCCACATCGTTTTTCCCGCTCCCGCTGGCTTTGACTTGTTCGAGGATGTACTCGGCTGGATTCTTCCCCTTTTTGGGTCGCGGTCCGCCATTGCGGACGAAATAGTCCACCAGAACCTTGGCGTTGCGCCCAATCTGCCCAAAGTAGACGGTCCTTCCTCCTCGAGCAAGGAGAAGAAGTCTGTCGAACCGCTCAAAGAGCTGTTGATTCATGTTAGCGATGTTACAGATGGAGGCAGATGTGGATAGAGGGATGTGCACATGTATGAAAACGAGAGAACTTACAATCGCTGACGGCTGATGAATTGTACACAAGATGGCTTGCCCATTTTGCCTCAGTGTCTCGAGCAAAGTGCAAATCGACAAGCTTGTCTGAGAATCCAAGCCCGACGTAGGCTCATCCAAAAACAAAAGAAGTGCAGGACGAGCAGCCAGCTCAACACCGATAGTAAGCTTCTTACGCTGCTCAACATTGAGACCCTCCCCGGGTACGCCGACGACGGCATCTGCGTATTCTTCCATACCCAGAATTTCAATCACCTTATCAACGTATGCAATCTTCTGCTTATGAGAAAATCGGGCCGGCTGGCGGAGGATAGCACTGAAAGTCAGAGCCTCGCGCACCGTCGACGTGAGGAGGTGCTGATCCTGCTGCTTGACGTAACCTGTCTTTTGTTGAAAGGAGGCATCTCGGGGGGACCCGTCAACAAGCATCTCGCCCGTCACCACGCCAACTGATAGGCGCGAGGCGAGGGCGTCGAGAAGGGTGGTCTTGCCGGCGCCCGATACGCCCATGAGGGCAGTGAGCGTTCCCGGCTTGCACCACCCGTCTACACCGTCTAAGATGCGCTTCGTCTCCTTCTTCTTGATCTTGACTTCGTAACAGACGTTGCTCCAGTGGAAAATAGCCGTCTGACGGTCGATGGTTAACTCGCCCTCATCATCACCATCATGACCGCCGCTACGGTCCGGTGCTTCTGTCTTCCCTTTGGTGATGTGGTCTTCCACATCTCGCGTCGGCTCCCCAGTCCGCCTCGTCGGGACTTTACCTCTAGGGAAGACAAGCATCTCCCCTTTGCTCTTCGAACTGCTTACCATCTCCGTGGCAATGAGATGCAACACGAAGTAGGCCACTGCGAATGCAAAGACGATACCGACATTTCGCCACCGATGGCTGTCCGCATATCGAAACGCGCCAGTGATGTACGCGCTCCCGTTAATGAATGTCTCGCCCGGCACACCTCCCTGCGCGGCACACACGCGCGTCTGTGCCATCATACTCATGCTCGCAGCATCCATGTCGTAGCTTGGGCCAGCCGGAAGAAAGGTTTTGCAGGGAAACTTGCGCCCGTTGCCGAATTCGTTAATCATGAGGGCCTCAAATCCATACGACACGGGGCTGAGCGTGGCGATCCAAGAAGCATACGGCTTGTAATACATGGGCGGGACCGCGAACCCCGTGTACAGCGCCAGCGTGAGCAGCACAATAGTCGACGGCGCCATAGCCGCTGTGTGGCTCTTCGTAACGGAAGCAACGAGCCGGAAGAGTAAGCTCACGGCCAGAGTCATGGCGAACTGGACCAGCACGAAGTACAAGAATGATCCAGCTTCGTTGCGCATATTGCACATCCAGTAGAAAAGTGTGTTGACCGTGATGGCGTTGAGGAGCTTGTACGGCAAGCTCATGACCAAGTCCGCGGTGGCCTCGGCCGAAGCATGATACAGGGCATATCTGACATGCTTCTCGACTATGGATCGTTTGGCGTACAAGGTCGGCACCTCGAGTACGCAACCAAAGGCATTGACCAGCGCCGCCGTGAACAGCAACGTGCTGCGCGACTTCATGGACTCAGCTGTGTCGGGCAGCCGGAAGAAGACGCTGGCAACGATGAGCGTCTGGAAGAGGTTGAGGACGAGCATCATCACCGTCATCTGCGGCGAGGCCTTGAGCAGCGCGAGGGAGCGCCAAAGGCATAGAAGAACCTGACGCGGGTACGAGAGGGTGTAGGGAGACTTCCATCGCTGCATCCACGACTGATCGCTCTTCTTGCTCTCCAGGAACTCGGCAAAGTGTGTGCGCGAGCTCCGCGGGCCACTGCTGCTCAGGGAAAAGGATGCGTCGTATGTATCCAGTTCCTCGTCGACTTGACGGCGGTGATTGCTCGTCCGCCATGCCTCGGCAAATTCATCGGGGGTACGCGGAACCTTTTGCTCATATCCAGGCTTCACAATGCCCTCACGCTCGGCTGGACTAGTCATGGACGTCAGGAAGTCAGGCGTCGTCTGAATCTGGGGACAAACGAATCCCAGCCGCTGGAAATAACGCTTGGCTTCTGTTGTCTTTCCAAAGTAGATCTGTCTTCCCTCGTAGAGAACCAGGACTTTGTCAAATAATTTGTAGGCCTCTTCCGGAGCTTGATAGATGGCTACCGCGCTTACCATGCCCATGATATCGCTCTGGACGCGCAAAGTCTTGCAAAGATCGACTGTCGCGGCGCTGTCGAGTCCGCGTGTGCTGTTGTCCCAGCACTGGATCGGGGCGAAGCTCAGCGCTGCCTCGGCGATGCTCACACGCTTGCGCTCGCCGCCAGATACACCGCGTACTGTGTCGCCGTCGGTACCGCCTACGGGTGTCTGCATCGTGTGTTGGATCCCCAGCATGGCCATGGTTACGTCGCGCACCCACGTCGCATACTCGTCCGCCGAGAGTCCCGCGGGCCGGGTCCTGGGTGCTCTTGCGCGGGCTGCGATGAAGAGTGTGTCCGCTACCGAAAGTTCCGGGAAGTGAACGTCCTCTTCGGCGGTGTAAATGGCGTCGCCCTTGAAGTAACGCTTCATCTCATCGGCACTCACGCCGCGGTAGTTGAGATAAGAATCTTCCGCTACCTGTGTGCCCTGCGTATCTCCCGCCATCGTACGCAAAAAGGTCGAACAGCCACTGCCTGGCGGACCCAGAACGCAAAGCATCTCACCGTCGTTGACGACTCCCTCGAGATCATGCAGGATGCGCACCTGTTGACGCTTGATACGCAATAGGCCACGCATGCCCCCCGCGGCCTTGAGCCACCACGCGTTGCCCACCGTAGTCTGGAACGCAGTATCGGACCCGTAGCCCGAGACGTTTAGCTTGCGAAAGGCGACGCCGGCCTTGCGTACCTCGCAGCTGTCGGAGCGGAGGCGATAAAAGGATTTAGCCCATTCCCGGGCATCAAAGTTGTCGCCAAAGGGGTCGAGGGGACCATTTTGCTTCGGCGCCTTCGAGACGTCGAGCACAGAATCGCTTTGGGTTGAAGATGTCGAGACGTCGCCGTTTTGTTGTTGCTTCTCAAGGAAAGACTTTGCTAGATCGACGAGATCTGTGATGGCCTTATATTCGTCCGCAGATATATGTACGGATCTGGGCCGGTCATCACTGGGAGGTGGGGCGCCGGGGAAACTCAGAAAAGAGGCACGATGGCGAGACGGACGCGAATGTTGCATTACCGGCCGCTCGTTCTCTGCCCTGTTGTCGGTGGAGAGCTTGGCAGGCATGGTTGCAACTGAACCAGATGTTTGTACGCTCAGCTGCTAAAGTCTGTCTGGTAAAACGGTGTTGTTGAAGTTCACTTGGTTCAACCTCGACTCTCCGAAGTGTTAAAATTGGGACCAAAGTGAAGCCTCAAGTGCGTTGCAATGTCGACCTTCGAGACGTTGAATTGCCTTTGATGAATTATGGTGAACATACAGTCACCACTACCACATGTTATCGAGGGCATACGCGCCAGGCACGTAAATGTCTGCAACTATCTATCATTAAGTATTCTCCGCCGTGTTCTGGACCATGCCGAAGTAACTACTCAGATAGGACTGTTGAGATGGGATGGATCGCTGAGGTGTGGCAGCAAACTGCAACAGCTGCAGACAGCACGGAGGGACGGGAATTCGCGTCTAAGCCCGCTCCCTATCATTCAGCGTCGGGAGTGGCTCCGAGTGGTGTGGAAGGTTTAACCAACCTAAAACGGAAAGAAAAGCAGTTGTCTAATATAAGGTTGAAATTATGTGTAAGCAGCCGGGGGGAAATGGATGCGAGTACGGAGTATTCGAATAGAATTTCCGGCCCGTCCGTTGAACGGATGGCCCAGCACATGAAAGCAAACAGTGTGAGCGGCATAGAGCTTTGGCGCTCGCAATCAACGCGCAACAAACCTTATTTGAACTCGCACTGAGCTTAAACATCAACAAAGAGGGGGGATACGGATACGGGAGCGAAAGGCTGTCTTGACATCATGGCAACCCGTCGACTCGGAAACTGGTTGAACTCTTGGAGCACTGACGAAGTGAACGGCAACCGGTCTGTTTGACGCTCCCGAGACGCAGAACCGGCCGCCAAAGTTCATGATGACAGCCTAAACTCTTTAATGCGCCAAACCTATATGAGTAATAGTTACCGATATCTTTCAGCATCCTTTCGATCATTGTGTGCCACTCGAAAGTCACCAGTGAACTCAAGAAGAAAGAGGCAAGAAAGTATGGTTCTGTGAGCTGCAGCCAAGGTAACCAAAGGGAGATCAGACGCTCAGTCATTTAAAGACGTATTCGGATATCCCACATCACCTTGTCTTGGCGATGGTCACATAGCTGAGATTCCCTTCTCCCCATACTCATCTGTGGCATTAGGTGATCATCGCCAACCATTCGTGACATCACAAGTACGGGTTTTTTTTGGGGGGTTTTTTTTTTGGCACTGATAAACACGCACAAAATGGAAAAGACGCGCGTTATCATCGCAGGGGCAGGACCGGTAGGCTTATTCACAGCCTATCTCCTCGCCCGCCAAAATATCGAGTGCATCATCCTTGATAGACGCCACAACGTATCAGAGCACCCCAAAGCCCACACAATCAACCCGTCGACGCTCGAAATCTTCCGCCAGGCTGGCTTGGATGTGACTTATATCCGTCAACAAGCAGCCAAGCCCAAAGATGCCGGATCGGTGCGGCTCGTCTATGGCCTGACTGATGCCGAAATTGGCTGCTTCTCATATGAGCGCCAGGACGATGAGATGCACAACTTGACGGCTGAGCCCTTGGTGAACTGGCCGCAGCCGGAGATAGAGCGCCTGCTCGAGAAAGCTGTCGTTGAGACAAGTCTCGTTCAAATCAGGAGGGGATGGCAGGTCGATGCTGTCGACATCAACGAGTCACAGGAAGCTGGCTGCGTCGTCTCTTGCAGCAGTCTCACTGGACGAGGAAACGACGGAAACACCAAGCGACATAGCATCCAGGCTGATTTCGTCATTGGCGCCGATGGTGTAAACTCGACTGTGCGAGACAAGATGGCCGGCATCGAGTTTGAATCCATGGGACCAGGGCACGTCTACCAGTCCATCGTCTGCAAAGGGAGTCTCCGCGCGGCGCTTCCGCCAGGTCGTGAGGCCATGCTCTACTTCTGCTTCCATCCAGAGCACCCCAGCGAATTCATCGCACACGACCTTGACGCCTCCTTCGTCCACGTCACGCCCGTCATGGGCCCCTCGTCAGAGGCACCACCAATCGAGGCCTGTCTCCCAGGTCTGCAGTACTCGGAGGTCCTCCGAACCACCTGGGAGACAGCTCCGCGCGTGGCATCATCATACAGCGATACGACGCACCGTGTATTTGTGGTCGGCGATGCCGCGCACAGCTTGCCGCCTCAGGGTGGTCTTGGCCTCAACACGGGCATCGCGGACGCACATAACCTGGTATGGAAGCTAGCTTCCGTCATCAACGGAAAAGGCACTCAAAGCCTTCTCGCCAGCTTCACCCGCGAGCGCAGACCCGTCGCACTCGCAAATCTCGAGTACTCCAAGGGCAGCGAGGCGGCTTTCTACTCCGTTAGTACCTCTCTCGTTGGCCTCGCGATCCAGTTCCAAGAAGCAAGGGCGCAAGAAGCGCCGGGGTCGGAGCTCACCATGGACAAATTCCTCCAACGGCCCGCTGTTTCCGCGGCGGCGGGGGGAGCTGTCACGGAGGCGAGCAAGCACTTTGACTCGCTTGCCCTCCAGCTCGGTTTCATCTACGACGACCCTTCCTCTACCAAAGGTTTGCTTGATGACCCGACGGTCTACCTGCCGCGAGCGTGTCCTGGGGCGAGGCTGCCGCATGGGAGTACGAATGATGGGCTGTCTCTCTTGGATCTCGTGCCCTACAATCGATTCACCGTGCTGCACTCTGCGAATCCAGCTTTCGCGTCTTGCGACTGGGCTGTAGATGTGGCAGGCCTTGGTTTACCTGAGAGTTGGTTCAGCGTTGTCCCGGAAATCAAGGGGGGTAAGGGGATCGTCGTGAGGCCGGATCATCGTGTGCTGGTGCATGTAGACAATCCAGCGCAGGCGGACGGTGCGGTTAAAGAGTATTTGGATCGTGGGAAAGTGTAAGACAGCTGACAGTATGCTCTCGGAAATTCTGATGTTGAGGTTGAAATGATATTGAGTCTCATAATACAATGACACATTGCGTAGAACAATCCTGAATGTGAAGCTGTTCATGCCTCGTGGCAAATGAATCCAAGGCCGGGGCCACATGCACACTCAACCATCGCACCCATCATGCAACTTTGAACAATCATACTCCCGAACTCCTGGAATCTGAGTCAAGCATCATTCCAACGTGAGAAAGCTCCTTCAGTCGCGAAGCAAGCCTCCACCAGTATTAACCTGCGAAAAACGCCCAAGACCTAGACAAACCGCCATCGCCGCTAGCATTCCCCACTGCGGAAGCATAGGTCGCCCATCTACATAAGCCCTGATGGTCCCGTACGTGACTATAGCCCCGTTGAAGAGCAGCGCGGGCTCCCTCGTCTCGGGGGCCACGACGGCCGCTCCTACTGCGATGCGTAAAGCTGCCCCAAAGTATCCGGCTTGTCGCGGGCTGACGCGCCGGTCAAATATTTGTGACATCCATTCGCATTTACCGGCGTAGTAGTCTGTGGCGCGGTGGTTGGGGAATGGGATGCCGATGAATGGGAGGGCGGAGAGGACGCAGAGCCCGCCAAAGGTGTAAGATGACAGGGTTGAGAGTGTAGAGAGGTCTGGCATCGTGTCTGGCCTCGATAAGTCGATATTGATAGGGTGCGGGTTGACGGGGGCGGGTGCCAAGCGGGGGTAGAGTCTGGTTGAAGGACTGGTGATGAAGCTGGTGATGAAGATGGTGGCCTGTAATACGAGTGACATTCCATGTTTGGCTGATTTACCCCTTACGTCAATACGTCAAAGTCAGCACTAACCCTCTTTAGACCAAACATTCACATGTCTTCCGCGTTAGCGGAAAGACTGGGTTTCTTGTCGCAACCTAGAGACATCGCGTGGATGATAGACACGTTCAACTGACACGCCATCGTCTCGTCATTCATGCTATGATAGGAATGTTACTAGATCTACTTGATCTGCTCTCCCTTGACCAATGGTCCGGCACCTCCAGGCCGTCGGAGCGCGCCGAGGACCCCATCCGCAACTCTGGCGATGGGATCGCTTGCATGTAATAATCGGGCTGTTGCACGTAGCTCGAGCCTCCACCGCGACTGTCATGACCTCGCTGGTAGTCTTTCAATAATGCGTAAAAGAATGCTGTATTTGCGACAATACAGGCGCAAAGAATTTCTATGGATGCCCACTGGATAGAGCTCGTTAGCGGGCGATCGTCGGGTTTCGAGACGTACTGGCTGAAAACCTACCATTGAGCGAGATCTTTGTGATACTGCCTGGTTCAGTATCATGGGCAGCCTCAGGATGGTGATGACGACAACAACGCCGGCAATGCTGAACAAGAGTACGAGCTGCACCTTACTATAAAGAAGGTGTTAGTCCTCAGCCAATCACGCATTGAGACATTAAGTGGGGGAGACAAACACTTTGCTGTCGAGTTTAACATGGCGAAAAATGGGAAAGGGAAAGATGATGAGCGCGATATCGGTAATAATATTGAAGACGGCCATTGTGACGAGGTTTCCGAGGGCTCGATGGCAGGTGTTTGCGCCGGTAGGATCAGGGGACCACATGCTATGGATGACTGTGTTAGATGGAGTTGAGGCCTCGGAGTGTATTCCGTTGTGCTGGGTTGGCAAATAGAGGCAACAACTTACAAGTGAAGTGGCCGACATTCCGCTAGAGTGGGTATCAAGATAACAAAAAACGTAATAACAATAAACCACCAAAGAGCATTCGTGACAGCTTTGCCCCATCCAAAGATGTCCACGAAGCGAGAGTAAAAGTTGAGCAGGCAGAGCTTCAACGACCACAAACTACACGAAAAACACGGCACGGTCAGCAATGAGCAACGTTAGACACACCGCCTTGACTTGCAGTCCGCCACCACCACAAAAGTGAGGGCGAGGCGGGACAGCACGGTGTAGGTGTAAGCGACATACAATAATGCATAGAATATGCGAGCTGGGATAAGCAGTTTGTGTGAGATGACGTAATACTCTGCCAATTTCTCAACGCTGAGATTCCGCGCCGCGGCCGCCTCTTCGGTGGCGGCATCGTAGGTGTGCGTAGGGTTGAGGTAGAAGGAGAGCGAGATGCATGTCGTGCGGCCGATGAGCGGGAGGAGCGCAAAGGCCATGTAGGCGTCGTCGACGTGCCACATTCGGTGGCAGGTATCGTGGACTTTACATTGTAATAGGATGCGGTAGCCGCAGCGGACAATGATGAGGAGGGCGCAAATACTGGCCGTAACGATGTCGAAGGTCACATCTGCCGACATTTCTGTATTGGTGATGTTGTCGTCGGGTTTCGGTTGCGGTGTCTGGCTGCTGGCGCGGCGGCAACGAGGGCCGTTATGCTGGTGCTGACATTGTTGGTTCTTGTACGTTTTGTCGAAACGCCTCTTTCCCTTCCCAAGCGAGTTTCCTGTTGTTCTGGCCCTTCTTTTCGCAGGTTGCTATATCCGTATCCCAATGTGATCTTGATAGCTCTTCTTTGACAAGGCTCGCACTGCGCAGTTGCCCTTTGGCTGAAAACGGCCGATGGTCCCAAGGTCTCGGGATCCCCAGTGCGCTGAATAAGGGACGGATTCTGAAGTGCTTGCTCTTTTTTGGGAAACGTTTTGACGTTCAAAGTGTGGGGAAAAGGGAAACGCAGATGGGACGAACTTGACAAGGCCAGAAAGGGCACAGCCAGATGTTTAAAGAGGAGGACGGGGCGGAGCAAGAAACAACCACAAAAAGGCCGTCGCTGAAAGAAGAGCCGCCGAGGAATGCGTTGAAAAAGGGAGGACGGAGTGGGATTCGCAAAAGTAGGGACGTGGATTCTGAGTCAGCTACTACCACCCGGCACCCACCCCAGCCCAATGCCAAGCCGTCTTTATTCTAGCTTCTGTTGGATTACCGCGCGGTATTCGAGTTGATTTGATCTGGGAAAGGCGCGGGGGGGACGCAAGGGAGGGTATGGATACGCTAGATGTGTCTCTAGAGAGGCACAGAAGAGGCGAAGAAGTGAGAAGGAGGAAGGGCAAAAAGGGCCGGCGAGAAGAATCGGAAGAAGGGGGCGAACGAGTTGGGTATTTTGAGGGGAGACAAATGGTTGCCGAGTTTGCATGCAGCTAAACTTTAGGGAAAAAGTCATTGATGATCCGAGAATGCGGTCCATGAGGTGTGATTCGCGCGATGGCCCGGGGGAACGGTAAAGGGTCGTCAACCAGCATTGTTTTTGCAAGGGGAACATGGAACGAACGACAAGACAGACCACTCGTCGTGACGGTGAAGACCAAGGGGCCCTGTCACGCTTGTCTGTCTGTCGGTAACTACTCGTAGTTAGTACGAAGAACTTGGTGTACGCCATTGTGACGACGCGAGCTGCTCAGCTCCTGGCACTCTGGCACTCTGGCACGCTTCTGCACCGCTCTGCTTCCCTTCACTCGGGCTGTCGGGGCCCTAAGCTGCTAAACAAGTCGATGGTTCCAATTTCCCCGCATGGAGATGCATGGGGACACCCATGTAGCCAAGCGCCGTTGGTGATTCGCTTTCGTAACGGGGAACCGGATGTCGAAATGAAGACTTTTCCTCGCCCTCTCTCGAGTCTCAGGTGGCGGACAGGACGGTACGCCAGGTACGGAGAAGCAATGTCTCGCCTTTTCCCGTGAGACTTCTGGGGAGCCTTGTGGGAGGTTCTCGATATGCCGATTCAACGAGGCAACTTTGATTTGTGAACCTGTGTACACACACAATGGTGATAAAAATACGTCCGCCCAACGGCGCACAACGGCGTCCCTGCCTCTCTCTTTCCATCGGTTGACAGACCTCGTAATTAACCGCCCTTCCTCCCCTCGGAGTCTCTTTGAGTTCAGTCTAAAGCCCGACTTCGGGAGGTTGGCATGGGCGCTTGGCCGCTTGTCGAACCCGTTTCGAACCCAAAATTGGGCTCAGGTCTTCTTCGAGTCCTAGCGTTCACTCTCGATGTAGCCCGCACAATCGGATGGCAGAATCGGTCCAGAACTTGGCAGAGACTGGCTGTCCGTAACAGAGCTGCCAAGCTGGCAGAACAAAATCCCAGTCAGCCCGCTGCCCAGCCCATCGATGGCAGGGTTGTTGACAGATTGATTTCCCTCGGGGCACTTGGGTCGAAGCTCCGTCCGTCTCGAGAGCTCCGCACGCCGCCAGTCCCCCGGCGATGAGGCGATGGGGGGATGGGGAGCTGGGTGCGCATGAGCATTCACTTCACCTAGAGCTCTTGTGAAAGCCCATCGTTCAATGATCGACATCTCTTGCCGCAACTGCCTGCCGCGCAGCGGCACAGGTGCTTACTCTTACTATGCATCTCTGCCACTTCGGTTCTGCTTGTCAGCTCTTCTAGGCCTCGCATCCTCATTGCAACCGTCGACAAGATTACACGAGGCTTCCCATTCAATACGCATACCTCCATCCGAGGTGTTCTAATGTCAGATCGAAGCGAAAGCAGTGTTCTCAGCCACAATTTTCGGCAACCACAGCGCCCGAAGGTCGTTCTTTGTGCCTCCAGATCTCGTGCCTGCGCCTCCAATTCGGCTACACCCGGTGCCAGCCAAGTGCCGCGCCCACCGGGAATTGTCTGGCGTTTGTGTCTGATTTAGCTTGATCGAGCCCGCAAACGCCCCGCAAAAGGAAGTCGTGAATCCTAATGTTTGAAGAAATGAAGCCAAAAGGAGTAGACGACTACACGATACTTTCCAGAAGACTGAGCTGCGATGAGAGAACCAAGGGTTTCCTTTAAGGATAGGCCAAACTTTGGAGCTTGGAGGAAACGTCGGTGAGAAGGCGGGATCCTTAGTTACATGTATCACAAACCTTACTTGCGAACGGGTGTTTCCAACAGATAGCAGCTAACGAAGAGGTCCCTGGAATAAATTGAAGTTTTAGGTGTAAGGTTTTGCACTACTCACGGCATATCCATAGTTGCCTTTCCAAGCCTCAAACTTTGCCGTACGGGAGCTGTTCTGGATCACAGGGGATAACTTCTGCTTTCGATCTTGATCGCATTCCAAGAACCCTTGTGGACATGGCATCGCCAAGTCACCGTCTCGGGGATTAGAGAACTCGCGATGTGCATATTCGGCTCCGTCTCTGTGTGCCGTCGCATTGATTACTCCTATTCACTCTTTAGCACCCGAGCGACTGCCGAAGACTGGATAGAATTTCGGCCAAGCATTGAGGTCGGCGACGTGTCAAATATGTTCTCCGTACCTATTGGAGTGCGTTCAAAATCCTCGGTCCGGCGATCTGCTGAGCATATCCGTACATTCATACTCCGTACAAGTCACGTTCTATCGCAGGGTAGGGCAGAACCCAATGCGGGGCCTAGGACCCTTTCCAGGCCCTCGCCAGGGTTTTCTCATATCCACACCCTCCGACCAAGAAAAAGTGGATATGCGGCGAGTACACGTCGTCAACCAAGTACTGGGGCAGGAATGGTCTTGTACAAATCAGAACATGTACGAGGGGCCTGTTTCGGCAGGCCGCCCTCTCCAGACATGTCCGGCCTTAAGCCGCAAAATTCAAGAATGGAACTGGGGCACCAGCGGGAACCAGGGACAGATAGAACGCATAGTAGCCATAAGGCACGATTTGGAGGACGATTTGGACTGTATCTAGCAATAGTTATAGGGCGACGGCTCTCCACGCCATATACCCTTCGGAAGGTCGGCCGCAAGGGCGGCTGCGCCCTTGCCGCCACGGCGTTAAATATAACACACACACACACGTTCTATCGCAATGAGTGATCGGATTTCGGACCGGCGACGAGATGAGTGGAAACAACTTCCCTCTTGCCTAATCTTTCTTGGTGTCAGGCCCATCCCAGTACACTCGTTACAACGATTGTCACACTATGCCTATGAAACAATATGGTCTTACACAAGCATGACTAAGTTTGCCAAGGATATGCCAGTATAAAGGGTCTTCCACTCACTATATAGATAGTCGGGATATTCCCATAGCCACTCGTTCTTCATACTCATCAATACATCCCATTGACCCCCTACCTGATAATCGCTGCCCAACACTTGGCATCCACTGTTAGTATAATAAGTGGGCCACCACCAAAATCCTTAACAGCTGAAACCCCTTACCCGCTCCGGCGCCCTCCCGCGATGGCCTCGTAGCCTCCGGCGGGCTCTGGATCGTTGCCGGCCTCCTCGGCCGGCCCTGATCGAGGCTCTGGACCCTCTTTAGAGCCGCCCCTATCCTCAAGGGCTAAACGCCGCCGCGAAACCGAGGCCTAGCCACTCTGGCCTAGCCTCGTGGGAAGCTAGCCTGACGCCCTAATAATAACCCCCTTAACGGCTAAGGGGCCCTCGATTATAACTAGGATAGCTATTAGAGCTATCTTTACAGCTCTTAATAAAGAGGCTAAGTACTATAAAGCCCGAAAGGACGTCTTTATGGCTATTACTTAGTTTATGGATAACGTGATCTCTTGCTTTGAGGGGCCTAGGAAGTAGATTGTAAAAGAAGCTATAACCTATATAATCTAAGCTTTGAAGAGGATTATGGGTAACGAGATTACGGCTCCGGCTCCGAGCCGGAAATGGACTGACGTAGTAGCCTTGGCTTCAACTATAGCCGTGGCCGTAGCCCCGACCCGTACCCGAATCCCTACCCGGCCCGATGTCCAGATATAGAGTCTGACGGAGACCCGGGCCCAGGCTCTATCCTAACCGAAGGAGGACCCCCGGGTCTTTACCCGTATCCTAGAAGAGGGCCTAGCGGCTGCTAGGAAGCACGCCCCCTTTGCCCTACGCCGGATAGTCTGCCAGGCCCTTAGGCTCTAGCTGGTAGATATCCTATAACTATATTTATTATATTATAACTAGCTACTTACTGAGACCCCTAAATAACTAGGTCTAGCAAGCGCTCCTTATAAATAAATAGAAACTAGTAGAGTATCTTGGAGTTTATAAGGTTAAGACCCTTATTAAGTGGTTTACTTACGTTGTCCTACGTTACCCTGCTAAGATATGGACTCTTGATGGCGATGCCCTTGATCTAGCTATTCTGGTAGAAGGTAAGGTCCTTATCTAAATAGGACGTAAGCTTACCCGGGCCTAGCAGTCCCGGCTAGGTATAAACCCTATTATAAACAAAGTCTCTTAGGTCATCTCCTTCTCTATAGAAGTACTACCTTTTAGACTATTTAACTAAAGTAGCAGGTCTTAGCTTATCTAAAAGAAGAAGACCCTAATTAGATATGACCCAGGATACTAGAGATATTATTCGAACCGATATTATAACCGATAGCCACTTTATAGTAACTGTAGTAGGCCCTCGGGATCCTGCGAGACTAGGCCCTGTATAGCTAGACCGAAGTGCGCTAACTGCTCCGGCCCCTTCCAAGCTAACCATAATGTTACGGCCAGCTAGTCGTAGGGGTAGTTTGCAGAAGTTGAGGCTGCGGAACTGGTAACAGTAATCGTAGTCGTGGAATAGTTCAAGGAAACTATGTCTGTCAATCGTAAGGGTAGGTAAGGCTTCGGTGATCAATCGTAGTCTTGTCAAGGTAGTAGCTGAAAGC